CATATCAATTCCCAGGCGAAGCTTGACAGCATTAATACTGCTAGTAGTAAACGTAACTTCTGTCCTAAATTTTCATCCCCCTGCCACTTATCTCGTGTCTCACTGATGTGCCAGCACATACTCTGTCTGCCAGAATTACTTTTACTAGAGAGTTAACAATTTCCATGCCCTGCTCCTTTTGCCTTAAAACAGAAGCTCTATAGAGCTGTCTGGAAAAGTAGCTCAATCCACGATGGAGTGGAAGACGTGCTCTGTGTTGCTCTGTGCATTCACTGATCTCTGTTTCCATTCCCCAGAGAAGATGTGCTGGTCCCCTCCCCAGAGCAGCAGCGTTGCCCACAGCAGTGCACATTTGCACAGGAGTGCTCTTGGCCGAAACAAGAACACAGCCGGATTCTGCACAGGCTGGAAGCCCCTCCTGCTCATTATACCTCTCCGCCTAGGGATAAATCACATAAATCCAGTGTACATTGATGCATTTAAAGTAAGGGGGTTTTTCAGTCATTGTTTGTTATTGTGAAATAAGTTCAGGTATCTGATATATCAATAAACAAATCAACTTCAATGTCATTTTTCTCTCTTTCAACTCCTAGGAATGCTTTAAGATGCCACAGTCTTTGGGAGCATTAGGAGGGAAACCCAATAACGCCTATTATTTTATAGGATTTTTAGGTAAGGAAGAAAGAAACTTACTGCGAATATCCATATGATATGAGATGAGAAAGAGAAAGGGTTTTCCTTGGGAAGGGGAAGCAGTTCAAGTATGAGAATGGAAATGAAGAAACATATGCTGGAAACTTCAGGAACAGTATCATACCATCCTTATAGGAACAGAGCTTGATGTAAAATAAGGAATGATATAAGCAGGAACAAGACATAACATTCAACAAGTGTCAAGTGTCACTGCTGCTGGAGTACTGAATATTTCCTAATGATTAATACTTTCTAATGAAGGATGGTTTGTTTTAGTCTTTTGCTTCAGAGTTTTCATAATTTACTTTCTCATAGCAGTATCTCTTTCACCTTCTTCCATGCCTTCCTTTATTAATTAATGCAATAGTTGATACTAGATTTGGTCTTTCAGATTTCACCCTCGTTTGATCCATAACTTTTTGGATATTTTGTTCTTCCTTTTGTAAAACCTGAGCTGTTTTAGTCAGACTTATTTGTTCCAATTTCTGAGCGAATGCCTAACGGGATTACAGATTGCATTTGTGGTCATCCTGTACCTCTTGATCTGTGGAATGTTAGGGATTACAGCAGTTGAGATTTTTAAAAAATCTGGACCTCACACAGCTAAAGTATGAGACAAAGGTACAACAAACCATCCAAAACATCTACCCTAACAGGTAACAGTAGGAAGGTATGTTAACTGCCCTGTGGGAAGCTGTTGTGCCTAACTTTCCAATTCTTTTAAAGACTAGCTAGAAAGTCAAGATATGGACTGTGCTGATAATCCAATTTGTGTTTTACAAGTGTGGATGGAATAAGTGCTTATGAAAGCCTCTTGCTTATTATCACCATGTGGATTTTACCCCTGCAGGCAATGAGCTGATCTACTTGGACCCTCACACCACTCAGAGTTTTGTAGATTCAGAAGAAAACGGCACAGTTGATGATGAAAGCTTCCACTGCCAGCAAGCCCCACACAGAATGAAGATCATGAATTTGGACCCTTCAGTAGCTTTAGTAGGTGTTAGGAAATAGTAGATGTGTGTACTTTATTCAAAGCAGTACCTCTGTGTATTGGTAAGGGCACTAACGTGTTTTCTTGATCACAGCCAAGCTCACAGAGCAGTCTGCTACAAACTAAAATTTAACACCTGGTGGTTTATATAGTAACTGCATAGGATACGTGAATTTTAGGTCAAGCAGGGAATTCACTTGTGGATCCTGGGGAGACAATTAATTTTCTTTCCTGAGCAGCCATTACCTTTTCTAGAAGTATTTTGAAGGTGAAAGCAAGGAACTGAATCAAGTTTCCTTATTTTATTGCATGTATCCATGCTTGCTCTGGAGAAGATACTTACCTGAGCTTAATTTGTTTTATATAATTTACAAATCTTTAAATAGAATTACTTGTAGTAATTCTATATCCAGTATAGGTAACAAGAGTACTGTAGTAGGTGAAGAAATTCAATCTGATCACATGCCAACATCCTTTGGTTGGGTTAGGGGTGATTGTCACTTGAGATATATCCAATACATAGTCACCACAGCATCCTTCACTCATTGACATATTGTAATTCCTTAACACTACTATGTGTATTCTTTCCCTAGGGCTTCTTTTGCAAAGAAGAATGTGATTTTGATAACTGGTGTAGTCTTGTACAAAAGGTAATGCTACTATCTTTATTTGCTCTGTATGAAACCATGTTTACTGTTCTTTTTTTGAAGTGGAAATTCCCTGCCTGCAAATCAAACAAGCACCAGCAAAGGCTGCACTAAGGATCAGGGTAAGATGACACTGCTGAGTTGCTCATGGAGCTTGTTCAGCATTTTGCAGCCCTGAGCCCTGGCACTGGGAAAACAAGTCCATGTATACCCTTACAGAGTTTGGCTTTTTTTAGCAGTACTGTGTTACTGGCTGATACTTAGTCATTTACTGAGAAATACATTTTAAACTGCCACGTTGTAGCAATTTATTTGTTTGTTTGCTTCCTGATCCTTATTTATTTTTTGACATAATAATATGTGTACTAATTCTGACTGTTGGTTCCTGGTACCACAAAAGATCTGATTCTCTCAGTGCAGAATCTCTCCTGCTGAACTGTGGGATACAAAGAAGGTGCTTGCTGCCACAGGAAAAGGACTTTAGGATATTTCTGCAAGCAGTTGGGATATTAAGCTACAGAAATATGAATGTGAAGTAACACCAACTTCTAAAGGCATTTCTAAAAAAAAAAAAGGCTAAGGAAAGCAGCTTATAAATAACTGAATAGAGGATATGATGTAGCTTACCTGATAGGATTGAAATTTGGCTTCAATAATAACTTGTTTCTTCTGACTAAAACCTATCTTTCAGAATCTGTTGGGTATTTTTTTGAGATAATGGATCTGTCTTTTGTCCTCATTGATCAACAGAAAACTTGAACACAGAGAGGTCCATGCAAGTAATTTTCATATAAAAGGCAGAAAATACCATATTCTTGGTGTCTGCTCCATGTAAACAAAATTATAGGTGTAAGGATATCAAAGCTTATAATAACACATTGATAATTTGTAGGACAGTTTAAGAGATCCATCTTTCAGGTGTATTTCCAAGTAGGAAAAGAGATCTGTGAAGCAGTGATTCATAGTGGCAGGTACCTGAAATAACAGGTATTCACTGCCTGTCTGCATACAGCCTTTGTTATTGCATAGACATACATAATTAAAAATGTTTCTAATTAAGCAAGACACTTTTTGTTTTGTATTCTGTCCTCAGGAGATTCTAAAGCAGCAGAGTCTACGGATGTTTGAGCTGGTCCAGAAGCACCCACCACACTGGCCTCCTTTCATACCTCCAACCAAGCCAGAAGTGACAACCACAGGAGCAGGTGTGGTACCAGCTGAAAGTGCTGCTGGGCAGCACAGTGGTTCTCCCTAGCAAACAGGAGAATCATCACAGGTGGAATAACTGGGCTTTCCTGAGGATCAAGCAATCACTACATGTCTTCTTACAGAGTATCAGTTATCCAGACAGGCCACATACAATTTACAAGTCCTAGCACAATGTATTTTTAAATCTTACAAAATATTTCAAAAGCCACGTTCCAGAAAAATGGTGGTGGGGGGTGTTTTGGTTTTCTTTTAAGTAAACAAAGTCAGGCATGTCTTTAGATTCTAAATTGTTTAATTTTTTTTCCAGAACTCATTGAATCTACAGACAAGCTGTTTGAATTGGAAGAAGAATTTGAAATCCTGAGCGTATGAAGGAAACTGTGGTGACCCTTCTGAGTATTGAACATATTGCTAATATTACTGCATTGACTTAAATCACACAGCCATGTTAGCCCCAAAGTGCCTGAAATCATGGATAACAGAGCACAAACACCTGGTAGCATCCAAAACTCCAGCAGTGACAGTTCCTTCTGTCAAACAGCTTCCCCCGAGGGAAAGGCAGTGAAAGATTTTATTATAAGACCCTGAAAGGGAACCTGTTTTTAATGTGTGTCTTTCCTGAAGACAAATGGACCTCTGACATTAAGGCAAAAATATGTCTGACAATGGGCTGTATGTTTGGAGAAAGGGATAACACAAAATGGGTATTTCTTGCTCTCTTATAATGCAATAGTTTAGTTCTTAAAGCAAAACAGTCTTCAGTTAAGGAGGATGTTTACTTCTGTTCCCTCCCATGGGCTGCATCATAGAAAAAATGCATTGTCTTGTTTAAAAGATCGACTGGATCAGGAAAAAATCGTTTCCTTGTTAAATATTTTAACATGTATTTGAGCAACCACACTTTATTACAAAAATGTTTCTGTGAAAGGAACTATGTCTAACGTATACGTTTTGCAATAGCCTTCCTGTTCCTGGGAAACCTCAAGAGGAACAGGAGACTCAAATAGTTGATACAGATCACAACCACTGTTATAGTTATGATATATTTCACTTTGACCTTAAAATTCAATCATTAAAACTTAGGCTGACTTTTCTTTGGAGCTTAAGTAAGTCAAAGGTGGTTTAACTGTACCTTATTTATTTTTAAAAAGATTTACACAAGTTTCTCTGTTACAGCACTTTATCTGTGCATCTAATAAATTTCTTAAGCTTTTCATAGGTTGTATGCTGCTATATTTTGTTAATTTGTTTGTGTGAACTAAATATAACCCAGGTTATCTTAAAACTTAATATATAGGCATATGCAACTTACTTAATTGTTGGGTTTTGACTTGTTGCCTTTCGAAATCTGTTTTGGTAAAAGTGCCTTAATTCTCCAGGTTTATCAGAACAGCTGGTGCAGTTTTGTTTCTTAGGCAGAGTATCTCTCTAGCAGCTATAAGAAAACCAGCTCAGAATAAAGGCAAAGATCTTTTAATCCATTATGCAGTTCCTTTTTACTATCAGACAGTCCCCATTGTGGTCATTGTGTCACGACAGTGTAATGGACGTGAATGGCAGTTTCATCTTCAGCAATAAATGACAACATAGAGAAATCCTGCATGCTGTCTGCTCTCACTTGCACTTCGGGATCAGGGCCAGTGTGACTTCCAAGAAAATAGTCATAACCTGGTCACAGCTCACCTTGTTTGCCTTCAATGTTTAACCACGGTTTGGAAACAATACATGTAGGAAAAATAGAACTTCCTTCCCCCTCTCCGTGGATTAGCTGCATGGGTTTTTTTTTTAAAAACAAAGTATTACTTCTTAGTTAATACATGAACTTACTGTTCCTGTGACAGCAATTGCAGCCCTCTCCTCCTCACTGAAAAAAACAGCCCTTGCTCTGAAATGCTCAGTCTTGAGCAGTTACTGCTTAAAAAAAAAAAAAAAAAGGCAACAGGTAAAGAAACCTTTCCTCAGTGGAGCAGAACAGGCTCATTCCCCACCCCGCCCCTGGCCATGGGGTAACACTCCTCAGGGGAGGCCTGAGCCCCACAGAGCTCCTGAAGGATTCTGGGGTGGGGTAAAGTGATGGAAATGAGGCTGATGGGGAATGGAACCCAGGGTGTAAATCCAACATGATCTGTCTGTGCCAGGACAGCTAAGAAGTAGACTGGGTATCCTGCATGAAAGGATTGCCAGTCAAGGGTGTGAAAATGCCTTAAGGATATTTGCAAAGCACATCCAAAGCAGTTGCTGATCTTTCACAATTAGGAATAAGTGAAATGAAAGACTACATTGTCCTTCACAACTTCCCTGCTCATCTCCAGGGTGGTTCAACTCCAGAACATGCAGAGCTCTCTGCCCCCCCCCCTTGGAAGATAATAATGTGTTATGCATGTAATCATCATTAAAGGTAAAAATATTATCTGCTTCAAATATTACCTGCAAGTATGTTCTTAAGTACTTTGCTGGACAGAGTTAGAGCCCTAGAACCTCATAAAGAAATCATACTTTAAAATAATACCTCAGTCTTGCATTAGTAAAAATTGTCTGAATAATTTTAGATTTTTAAGCCAAGGTGACAGTGTATTTGCTAGGCACTCCTTTGAAATGTCCTTTCCCTCAAAATATACAAGGATAATCCAATTAGTGGCACTTCTCTTTAATTATGCCCTGAAGGAAAGCATGACTAGTTAATGGTGTGTACACTAGAAATACAATTTTTTAAACTAACAGCAAAAAGCCCAGAGGAAGCAGTTTACAACATATTGTGACTGTGGGAGTAGAAAATGTACATCCCATACCCACTTACTCCCATATCTGCATAAGCTCACGTGCCATCTAGTGAAAGCTCTACTTCTCAAACACACACAGCTTGAGTAATTACAAAATAAATGTGCCAAGGCTGCCTCAGAAAGGAAATACATGTTCATAGTAATAGAACATTTCTGGTGACTGCAGGTAGATAAGCACGGACTGTGAAGTCAACATTTTACCTGGAATATATTTCAATACAAAGCTATGAAAAATACTAGAGGAGTTTTGGATTCCTCATCCCATCAAAAACTGCATTTTTCGTAGCTCTTCAGGGTCAACTGTAGATGACAGTCTGAATTAGAAATGATTACCTGTCACTGGAGGAAGGAGTGTTTCATCTGGATAATAAGCAAAGCAAAACATTAATTTTTGAGTCTAAGAAAATCAGTTATCAACCATTACTGCACGGTGTTTCCAAGTCACCTACAACACACAAATTTTAGCTAGTTCTGTATTTCATAAGAGAATGAGTCTTCACTCCCTTACACTAGACCAAGTACTGTTTGCAAAGACACCAATTAAGCATAGCTTTGGAAAAGTCTCTCTGGATGATGACTGGCATGTGCCCTGGACACGAGTGGTGTGAGGTGTCAGCTGCTCTCCAGTTTGAACAAGGAACTCGCAGAGACTTTCTGAGGTAGCCACAAATGAGAGGAAAAAAAACACTGAAGTAAAAGCATAGCACCATGTTTCATTCAAAAAGTGGTTTCAAAGCACTGGTCTTTCCCTCCTCTGTGCGTGGTCAAACTCCTGGACTCGACACTTGATTTTTGTAGAATTCCGTCTGTCTCGATTCACCCATCACACACACCCAAAACAGGTTCATGAATTTACCCTTCTTCAGTCCGTGATGGCTAATCTGGGGTAACAAGGGCTGTGAGTGTAACTGCAGTTCTGTCCCTACAAGTTCTTCATGCACACCTGGCAGCGGCTGACCCGCGTCCGGAGCTGTCCCGCTTTCAGGGTCTCTGAGGGAGGGGCACTGACAAACTGCTGCGACTGCTCCACCGTGGTCAGCCAGAAGCTGTACTTGTTGGCAAAGTAATGGCACGTTCCCCGAGCCCCGTTGCACTCGATGAAGGGAGTAGCACGGAAATCCTCCAGGCAGGAACCAGGCGAGACAAGGGACTGACCTCCACCCTCTGCCCCGGCCGCAGTGTGCTGAAACAAAGATGTCGAGTTATGTGAGCTCAAAGGAACGGAATGGGTGGTAACCAAGGGGCTCTGCCAGTTCTGGTCTAAAAGGAGTGAAACAGGCAACCAAAATCATACCTTGGCTCTGTGTATGTGTCTTTTGAGTCAGGGCTAGAGGGGAAGAAGCAAAGGAACGTACTTAGGCTGAATTTACTGGCCTGGTATAATGGCAAACCAGCTTTTCACTTGGAAGTTGGGAACATTTGGAAACAATAATGCTGACATCATGTTTTCCTAACAGTCTTACACTAATGAGCCTCTAGGAGAGTGCAATGGAAAACTTTTTCCACTGAGAGAGAGGATTAAGTCAATACTGTAGCTTAATTGGCATTTCCACATTTAAAGGCAGGAAGAACAAAGAATATCTGTGGCAATACAGAACTAAGGCAGCAGTGTTACCACCAAACCTGATCAGGTGCTAAACAGAACAAACTTCCAGAGCTACAGCACCTCAGCTGATAAAGAAGAAATGCACTTGGGCAAGAAGAGACAGGGCTTCAGGTTCCTGTAAGTAACTCATAGAATAGAGCCTCAGCGACCTCATCAAGAGGAGATCTAGAAATGTTTACAGCTGCCTTTGCATTAGCAGTAGTATCCTCACCATAAGGAAGGAGTATCCTATCCATAGGCTGCGCCAGCCCAGGGGACACTGTGGGATGGTGATGTCCTGGCTGTGCACAGCCACAGCCTGGGAAGGTGCTTCGCATACAGAGCAACGACTGATGTACTGTGGGATCTGGGCGCTGTCCACCGGCATCATGGGGATGGGAGCAGTGGTGGAGAGCCAGTAGGACTTGTCATTTCGGCTGGCATAGTAGCACACCTCGTTGATGTTGCAGTAAATAAAAGGCATGGTGCTGAAGCGAGGCAAACACGAGCCAGCAAAACCTGGAACAATTGGAGAAGTGGTCAGAGCAGGCATCTACCAAACTCCCCACCTCACACACACCACATTCGTGGTGGAGGAGGGCACGAGTGACGCTGCTCCCAGCACAGATCCAGGCCAAGCAGGCTGCCACCACCTCTGCTACAGCCCTCTGTGCTACTGGTGAGGATTGTTCCTTTGTTTATGCCTAAGAGAACTCTGTCAACTCACCGAGATCCTGGTTGTGTGCCTTTTCCTGCCCCTCCACGTACAACAGGCTGTAGCCGTCCCAGAGCTTATTCATTCCTATGGGACACGGTGGGATTTGGTCTGACTGACTGTGCTTCACTAAAGTGTATCCAACACCCACACTGCGACCAGGCATTCCCGGCAAACCAAGTGAGCCCGGCTTCCCAGCAACACCTAGGAGACAGAAAAGGAGTCACTGTTACTAGTAACCAGTGTGGACATCAGCTGGTCCTATACCCATCTTGGCATTGCTGTCATTGTGTTTATGTCCATCCTGTACAATGAGGACCCCAAATTTTGATGGTTGTTATATGAATAAATAGACTACTTATCAGTTCCAAAAGCAGTCATTTCACAGCAGCACCCACCCATTCCCTACCTAATTTAATTTTCTTTGCCCAACAATGTGTATCTCACAGTACAGTAATTCTGAGGATCTCAAAGCACCAACGAAAAGCTAATGGATTCATTTTTGCTATAGTGCTCTCCAGGATAATATTTCTTCTCTTTCTCACTGTGCCTTTTCTCCTCTACTGTCCAGCCCTCACAGCTGGGGTCACTGTGAATACTATATCCCTCTTTTACATCTCCAAGATGATTCCCACATCCACAAAACACTAAACCCAAAAGGTGTTCAGAATTGTACCTAGGGAAACACCAGCAGTGAAAACAACAATGACATGTGACAGAACTTTCCTCACTGAAGACTGGATTTCCTTCATTGCAAAGCACAAGACCACTGACATCCTCTGGTCTTCCTAAGGTAATTGGCTATTGAGGAGGGTCTCTGCAGAACCTGAGACATAATTCTACTGATTGCTTCTTTTTGATCTATGCTCCCCAAATCATAACATTACCTTCAAATCCCTGTGGTCCTGGGGCACCCGGAGCTCCTGGATCCCCAGCTATGCCAGGTGTTCCAGGTAAGCCATCACGTCCTTTCAAACCAGATCTTCCTGGCAGACCTTTTGCACCTGAAACACAACACAATTATTAATATCATTATTTCCCCATACTAACGCCTTCACTCCTACGATCATTTTCCAGAAGGGAAATAGGTTGTCAGCAGCCATGCTGAGAGCTCCCTCTTCACTAGCTCTGGTTACAACCAACCACCTCCATAAGGGACTCCACCTGATCCAACTGTCTGTTAAAGGATTGAGAAGTGCTGCTGAATATTACCCACAGCTGCAAATGCAGCACTGAGATCTTGGATAAGCCACCGACTTCAGCCTGAAGCTACATCAGACCTAAGACTCAGATTTCAGTAAAAGAGAATATTAACATTTAAAAATCACCTAAATGGCAGTGCTGAGAAAGTGACTTGTGGGGCCTTGGAGAGCCAAAGGGTGCCAGACTCACCAAAGTTGCTTTGCTTAACAATACAAACCTCAGGACTACAGGCTGAAGTTCCCAGCACTTCCCCACTTACTCTATTCTGTTGACAATTCAAGTAATTCCTAGTGGTGAATCATTTTCATGACCACTTCACTTCCTAGGACCTGGTATTGTATCAGCTGCATCACAGACTGCTACATTTTGGTGATCTGAGGGTACTTTTTACCTGGTTTTCCAGCTGGGCCCTGGAGTCCGGGATCTCCATCAAAGCCAGGGACACCATCAATTCCTGGCAGACCAGGTAAGCCTTTAGGGGCTGTGACTTCTTCTGGCTGTGGGGTTATTCCTGGAGCCCCTGGTCTGCCAGGGAGACCTGCACATGGGGCAAAGGACAGTGTAAATACCCACACACACAAAAAAAAAATCACTGTTTTGGTGCTAATCCTGATACAAAGGATAAGAATGAGAAATTAAAATCACCTTTGTACATCAGCACTGGGGATCTTGTAAAAATTATGTCAAGTTCTAACTTACTTCAATCTCTAAAAAACTAAGAGTCTCCCAAATAAGCCCATTAAGGGGGCTCTGAAATCCTCCCCAGCACAAACCATGTGCAATAAATTGCAGGTTTTTAAATCCTCCAGCACTCACCTCGACGGCCCATTTCACCTTTCAGCCCAGCATAACCAGGATCCCCCGGAGGCCCATCTTTCCCTGGCATCCCCATAAGGCCAGGCTCACCTCTTACACCTGCAAGGACACACAGCTGAAGGCTCAGGGGCTGAGCACAGGCTCCTGATTCCGACCCACAGCTGGGGCTCTGGGAAACAAAGTGGTGGCAGCAACAGCATTTTGGCTCTGAGATGGAGGGGAGCACAACCCTTAAGGAAATCTGTGCCCATTTTGACATCCAGAATGGCTGAAGAGCCTCAAGACAAGAATTTCCACTGCTACCTAATTACACTTTATTGAAAGTACTCTTCCTGTTCTTTGGGTAACCCAGGGACAGTGTTTGGGGAGAACACATCTTTTCTATTTGGAATCCATCACTGTGCACAGCACTGTCTTCACCTGGCAGTGGTTCTCCATCCTTTCCTGGCTTTTGAGCCCTGTGGTTTCTCTGAAACCTTGTTCCTGAAGATCTTGTGGGTAGCTGCCCTTTAGCCTCCTTTGGTACAAATCAAAGAGAGCAACATGTTCCCTGCCTTAGCCCAGAACATCTCTTAACTCCTACAATCCTCTTAGGCTCTTGTGGAGACCTAAATCCACCACACTAATGCCTCTGAGCATACAGGACAGGTGAGATGAAACAGCATCTCCAGTCTTTGCCTAAAGAGCACAGGCAAGGGGGTAACTGTGGTGACAAGCACAGTGCCATTGCAGGTGGACACCATCTGCTCAGAAAAAAAGCCACCAAAGGTAAGAGGAAAAAAAATCATTCAGGGCACACTCAAGACAACCTGGAGCTGGCCTCACTTTGCTGCTTTTAGAGTCAGTAGGTAAAACCTGCATGAGCCAAAAGGGAAGATTTAGACATTTAGACATCAAACTCAGCTGTTACACCTGAATGAAGCCACACTAACCACCCAACAGCCATTCATGCTGGGGAGATGACATCTGCCAAACCACACCCAGATCCTTTCAAGGCAAGATTACCTTTGAATCCAGATGCTCCAGGGAGTCCAACTGGACCAGTGAGTCCCACATCACCCTTAATGCCTCGCAAGCCAAGAACACCAGGGAAACCTGGATTGCCTGTGTCACCTTGGTCAGAAGCTGGGCCAGGGGGCCCTCGTGGTCCTGGTAGACCTGGAAAACCTAGAGACAACAGAGTTAATTAGCAAAATCTATTCCTGGGGCAAAGTAAATGCTGGGGCTACCCCCAACATGTCTTTCTAGAGGACAATCATTGTTTGGGTCTCTACATTTCCAAGGGTGTCATCCTCCCAAAGGAAAAGAACCAGACCCCACCTGCTTATATCCACTTAGGTCTCAAACTCTTTAATCCTTTTAACCACAGTAATCCAGATTCAAATTCTGGGCCTGAGAGTAACCCTTGCCCTACATGGTAGCTCCTGGTGACTCAAAAATTCCCTAGGAGAAGGAGAGCAGTGGCTTCAAATCTTTGGCCAGGGAGAAGTCTCAGCCTCCCCAACAAGGCTGTGAGGTACTGAATGGGTACCAATGCCATCATGACAAAACTTTCAAACTACACACATACCTGGACTCCCATCAGTTCCTGGATGGCCAGCATCTCCAGGTCTCCCACGTATATCAGAAGGAAGAGAAGCTCCAGGTGTTCCTGGCAAGCCAGGCAGTCCCATAGGACCAGGGGGACCTAGAATAAGAAATACAAAGTGAGACAGTGTAGCCAAAGGTCTTCATAGATTTCAGACATGGACAGAAGTAGTGGCTGAGAAGCATTTTTATTGAGGAGAACAAAGAGACATCTCACTACACAAGGGGAAAAATTACACATTGTGCTGTTCAGGAGAGTTGTAGAACTTTAAGACTGTTTCTCAAATAAAGGGCCACATCACAGAATTAACATTTATCTGTCAAACTTCTAACCCCCTTTGTGGTTTCAGGAGTTCTCTTTGGTAATTCTGCTGACCATGCAACCCATTAATCGCAGCTGCAATACATCCTGCTTACAGAACATCAATATTTACCCATGTCTCCTGCTGAGCCTTTTGGTCCAGGGAATCCTACAGCTCCTCTACCCAGGCCTGGAGAGCCTTCTTCACCCTTTGTACCTGGGAGACCTGCAGGTCCTTTCAGCCCAGGTTCACTCAGACCTAAATAAACATGGTTAACAAAGATAAGAGAACCTATTCAAAGTGTCTAATAGCAGTTAAATTATTACACAAAGTAAGTGGTAATAAGAAATTAGCCATTTACTGCTGTCTCTGCTGTTTTCAGTAGAGCAACTGAAAGAGAAGTGGTGCCTCACGTGCTACTCTAGTTGTGCAGAGTGAATTTATACAATCTATGAGATGCTGAGAGAGAAGCATGTGACTGTTCTGGTCTTCCCACAAGCTCTTGCACAAGAAAGGGAAAACCACAGTCCTGTGACAGGATTTGCCTGCCAGCCTGTATGGTGTGTCTCCTGAGAGGACACAACGTAGACTCAAGCTTTTGGTCTTTAAATAACCTCGTGGACTTCATGCTCCAAAACAGAGAGCTCAGTTTGCACAGGCTGCTGCAGAAGGCACACAGGCACAAGCAGGGCAGGGCAGAGGCTCCCAGGAAAAGCTGCAGGGAGGTGTTCAGCATGTTACCCTGAGTAAACACTAAGCAGCTCCCTCAGGAAAACTGTGGAGGGATTATGCTGTAAATGAAATATGCTGTAAATCATTACCTTTTGATAGAGAATATTTTAAACAAAGAAAACACAGGTTATCATTTGAGTTTCACACATGAAGACTGTCCATTTTCATGCACAAAACAGCTGCCACAAATTGTAAGTGATACTTTACAAGATATAAAAGGAGATTTGTAACTAAACAAGTCTTTTTGGTAAGGTCTTTCTCCACTTCTCTACATTTAGTGAAACACTGTTTGCAAAATAGAACCATATTCTATTTCATACGATCAAAAGAAGAAAAAAAATCCAGCAAAAGCTTCCTAAAAGCAGAATCTGGAATATAATCAAAGAAATCAGCTTCTGATTTTACTGATGCCTTCCTTGAGCTCCATATAATGGAGGGCTCTGAAAAGCAGTACAGAAACATTTCAACACTAAGCCCAACTCAAAGCAAGCATTCAGTGCTGCCCTGCTCAAATCAAACATCCATTAGAAATGGAACAGTTTTATGATTTCACTCAATCAGTTTTCCAGCAGTGACATAGTCCTTCAGGAATTCAAGGATAACCATCACTAGAAAAGCCTCCTCAGCTCCACAGGCTGCATCCTGTTCTTACTGATATAGAAGAATTTGTTCATGCACATTCAGTATCCTGAGGTCTTTTTTCAGGTCATAATTAAATCCAGAACTGGGTGAAGTAGGGGAATTTTGTGGGAAACACTGCTCTCATGATGGAGCAGTGTATGCATTTACCCAGATATGACACTTCCACTACACCTTTCCTTTACCTGGTGTTCCAGGAGACCCTTTTGTGCCTTGCAAGCCATTCAGACCATTTAAACCTGGAAATCCATGAAACCCTGAGGAGACAATGGGAACAGGTAAGTGAACAAATTACCAAACAATCTAGTTAGATGGAAATGCATAAGATGCTCCATGGGGAATACAATGCCTAAGGAAACCTGACATACAGGGGAACATAGGATGCAAAGTTTTCCTTCACACAAGCCCCCTTCATGGAAACTCTTCCCACTGCTCTCACCAGTTTTACTCTCAGTGAACACCCATCAGTGATTCAGATCAAGCAAGAGCCCCTCCCTCTCCAACCACTCCTCAGCTCATTTCTAGCAGCTGGTGCCTGCACAGCACTGCCAAGAGCAGAGCTGATTTCCCACGCACAGCTGGCCCACACACCAGTGCTGCCTGCCTGCTGTGATACACTTGGCCAAAACACTGGTTTTCTGACCCAACTTCCCCCACCATCTGCAGGCTCCAGATATACCTTTAGGTCCTGCTGCTCCGCGAGCTCCAGGGAATCCAACGGATCCTGGCTGTCCTGGAGGTCCTGGTGGCCCAGGGACTCCTCTCGGCCCAGCATTTCCAGGGATTCCTAAAAGCAAGCAGAAAAGTATTTCTGGACTATACATCACATCCAGGCTGAAACAGCTCCATCTTACAGCTTCTGTTCCTGCACTTGACTCCTAAGATGGATGAATAAACTACTATTTAAATAAAGCAAAACCAGATCCAAATCTTTCCTCACTACCACTACTAGCATCACACACCATATTTGATGGCTCATTTTAATCATAGCAATGACATTCTTTATCATCCACTAAGTGACACACTGAAACAGTTCACATACCACACAACTAAACTGTTTTTCAAATAAAATATTTCAATAACAACTTCCACTGTTGCCCAACCTTTAATCTTGATAACTATTTGGGAATCTACCTGCTAGATACCCCACAACCCAAAGACACTTATAGCTGTCCTTCTGGGTAGGTTTGGCTCTAGAGAGGGAGAGAACAGAAGCATTGAGATGAAAGAGCTGTGAAGAAGCTGCTACTGCTTGTATCTAATGAAGGTCTTTCCTATTTGTTAATGGAATTCCTTTAGGTTTCAGTTGTGCAGGATTCACCATATTTGACTGACAGTACTGACACCTTACACTAATGTCAAAGAAAATTCCCATCTTCTTGCCAGCCTTCCTGTTTAAGCCTCAGCTGAGACAGACCAAACAGGGCTAAGGAAACATCAAGGTGAGGTTGTTCCAGTCACACCATGAGCTGCAGAACTGAAGAGCCCTAGTCCAGTACCTGCTGGCCCTTCTTGGCCAAGATCTCCTGGACTGCCTTTGGGTCCATTCACCCCAGTGTTTCCTGGGTAGCCTGGTTCACCCTTGAGTCCTTCTCTCCCTCTCTCTCCTGAAAGGATAAAATCATACAGCACAAGTCAGACTGGAGGAAGGTGTGAAGAGGGTGAGAAACGTGATATGTTGAGGTTGCAGCACTTGTGTCTGCTTAGCCATTGTCTGGGCCCGGGGCTGGACTCCCAGGATGCCAAATATCAGTGCAAGTTCACAAGTTCCTCCTCAAGAAGTGAAGTGGACTCAGCATTAGAATTGGGCTGGTCTTAGACATGTTCATTATCATCCAGATTTGTGCCCCACCTGGATTCTGGACTCCTCAGATCTCACTTCCAGGAGAGGGCTAAAGTATTTAAATTCACAGATTACAAAAATACCCAAATTTGGCAATGCCATCCTGTTTAGTCTCTAGAATTTTGCTCTTCAAGTGAGCAATCTAGGGCTATTTTACCTGGGAACCCTGGGTCCCCTCGCTCTCCTTTTGCTCCAGCAATGCCAGGAACCCCAACAGACTCTCCCTGGTCACCTGGAAAAGAAAGGGAAGACCATTCTGTAAATGATTATGGACAGAGGTTTCCAGAGCTCCTCAATGACCCTGTTTATGAAAATAAACCTTGCTAAACTTCAAATTCATGGAGCAAACAAAGACAATAGCAAGTGATGCACCTGAGTCTGAAAACACTTATAACCAGCAATGGATACAGATCCACTCATGCAAATGCATTAGACAGACATTTACAGGTAATTCCACAACATGCTGCACTTCACACTTTTGATGTGAGGAAATGAAAGAAAAGGTGCCTCTTGCACTGTCCAACATGGTTCACACAGTGCTGTGGCCAAACTTTCAATGGAATATAAAGTATTTAGGCTTAGGATGGGTCTTGTCTGAATGAAGCCCCTTACAAGGGGATATGTACTTTTGAGCCAGTCACTGGAGAGCAATGGACACTTCCAGAACACTACTCATTCCTTTATGTCATTAGTATTAGGACTGTGTATCCTGAAAGACCATGTACACTGTGAAAGATTACTTACCCTTTGGACCAGGGAGGCCAATAGGTCCGGGGAATCCAAGTATTCCTGTGATGCCATCTGAACCCTGAAAAAAATCAACACAACTAAAATGTGCTTTTGCTTTTTATTATTGCTGACCCCAGTTTGGGTTATGTGGGATAACAGAACACAAATGTGTAGGAAGAAATACTACATTTGTAGTAATAATTAATAGTAATAATTAAATGACACTACTAAAGTGTCATTTAACAGTATGAGCCAAACAAAAACAATCTGGAAGTTTTGTAAGGAAAAATCCTGCCAGCTTCTGCTGCTTTACTACAGAAGCACCAATTAGAACACAGGATTCTACTAAGAGCATCAGAGAAGATGAAGATACTTAAGAAGGTATTTACCCTCTCTCCTGGCATTCCTGGAAATCCCATGATACCATGTGCACCCTTCTGCCCGGGCAGCCCAGATTGTCCAGGTGGGCCAGGGAAGCCTGGGTCACCATGAAGACCTCTCTCCTTGCTTGCTAACCCAACTGGACCAGGGAGACCAGGCTGCCCACGGCTTCCTGGGATTCCTTTATCACCTGGGTTATACAGAAGAGTGTAATTTCAGTTAATAATCCATAAGAGCTGGCATTAGATCTGCAGAACGGAGCTGCAAAGGAAGACTGTTTTCTCAAAATTCAGAATTGCCATATGCAAATCTTGCTGAATGGGAACAGCAGAACAGAAAACAGTAATATTGCAGGCAGGCACTGCCAGAAGGACAGACCATGCTCCACTGACAACAAGCCCAATTACCGAACAACTGACACTAGCAAATAACTGCAATGTTGTGAAATACCTCTAGGTCCAGGGAATCCTCCAAGTCCAGCTAATCCAGGATCTCCTTTGTCTCCTTTGATTTGCAGTGCTTGTTCTGAAGGCCCAAGAACAGGAAGACCTGGTGGACCTATATCACCTCTGTCACCTGAAGAAATAAGAAGTCAGGAAATCTTGCAAAATAACCTAGCAGAGAAAGGTCATAGCACTAGAAGCCTGCAGACAAAACCAGAACTTCCATGCCTCCTGATGTGAATTCATCAGTAAGTGCTCAGCATCTTTGTCAAACATTTGGCCAAAGCATTTCACAAGGAAGAAAAGAGCTAGAAACAAGATACCACACACAGATGTCTCAGAACAGCCTCCCAAGTCCCTCTGCTGCACATCCAGAAAAACCATTTCAGCTGTTTCTCACCTTTTTGACCTTGAAGTCCCACAACTCCAGGGCTTCCTTTTCCTCCAGCTGTGCCAAGAGCTCCTTTAAACCCATTCACTCCAGGGACACCAGGCAGGCCTGGCATGCCAGGAAAACCAAGGAGGCCAGAAGATCCTTTCTCACCTGTATAGAAATGTTGAGAAATAGAAAGAGAATATTAGTCTCTCCTGGTACACTGCAAACCCACCTAGGTGGCAGGTAAAGGCTGTCTGGGTCTGGCCAGGTACCCAAATCTGAGTAGTCAAACTTCATGGTACAAGCACAGCAGTGCCACTTCTTTCCCAGATCTCCATCCATGATGCTTTCAATCAGCACTTTTCAGTTCACCTTTGAGAGCCTGGTCCTGCTTCCACTGCAGAGCAAACCCAATCAACTTCTTAGAGTGCAATGTGCAGATCCATAGCTCTGTTGCTCTCTGCCTAAAATAACCAGAATTCTCCAAGTAACCAGCTACTGTGTTGCTGCTTAATGACCATACCGACTGTAAAGTTTAACTTCCCATTTGATTTGTGCTTCATTCTCTCCTTTTTTTCCATAAATTTCATTCACTGTTCATAATTTCTTCATCTTTCTTGCCTTTCTATCTTGATTTACACAATCCTTTGTCCATAACACCTTTAAGACAAATTTCCTTACAACCATTATTTGATAATTAAATCCATAATTCATAACTCGGCAGCAAAACAAATGCAGTCCAACACTAGCTGGGAATTTATTCTCTTCTGACAAGTTGTACCTGAAATCACTATTAACAAGGTTGTTTTTTGTGGGCACAGTAATCTCAAGACTGAAACACACACCTTTTGGCCCAGAGAAACCCGGATGTCCGTCTTGACCAAAAGGTCCAGGTGGCCCCACGAATCCTCTTTCCCCAGGAGATCCTGGAGCACCATCAAGACCTGGGAAGCCTTTCATACCAGCAGGGCCTTGTGGACCAACATCCCCCATCACTCCTTTGACTCCAGGAAGGCCTGAATCAACACAAGAAAGAACTCAATAGAGTATATTGCACAAACACCAGGACAATTTGTGGCAGCTTCCCAAGCTCTTTAAACACAGCGTTGTTTTTAATGACAAATGGACTTTATGGCACATGCAACCTACTAGAAGGCAGAAAGCTTAGAATTGCAAAAGCATTAGTCATCTAATAATAAAATACCTATGAAGAGGGTTACTGCCTACATCACTACACAACTGGCAAGAGTGAAACCCCTTTTGATGTGTTCATTTTTGACCACTAACCTGTGCAATCTTACCTTTATCAAGGTAGCCAAAATAGAATGGGGAGCACCATTAATGTCAGCTTCTGCTACCTACTCCAGCCTCTGGGTGAACCAGACATCAACTGGAGAGGCTTGTTTTCACAAGTTTCTTTTCCACCTTGGTAGTTACTCAAGAGCAAACTGCTCACTAAAGGAACAAGCTGATTGTGCTGTCACAAAACCAACACCATATGCACTGTTTTGCCTCTAAATGTTTCTAGCTGAAGCTTTGTAACAGTTTACAATTTTAAATAAAGGCTCAAACCACTGAAAACAGAATGCTCAGATTCAAAGGAATGAAGAGAAGGAAAAAAAAATCAGGTGGCTTCTGAAAAAGGGCATTTGCAGCAGCAGCACCCAATCTTCAAGTTTTGTTATACTTTGTTGTAATCTTCTAAGCTACGACCCTGTATTTTTTGAAGCAGAAGATGAGAGGCCTGCCTTATTTAAGAAGACAAAGGAAACACACACACTTAAAATCTCTGCATATTAAGGATTTTTTTATAGGCTTGAAGCTTTGTTACTGTCTGAGCATTCTCCTCACAATGGTTCTTCGCCCTCTGGTTTGATTAGCAATGATAAGGGGTATCACCTACGGTCAATGCAATTCTTGTAGCATTAAAAGCTGGGTTGTTAGTCCATGAGCTTTTATGCTACACTGCATTTTCTCACCTTGACAGCCTATGTGAAGAACCCATAACCAAACAGTGTGACATCAGAAATGGAGAGTTGATGATAAATGGAATAGAAACATGGTGAAGGAAAAAACCAACAAAATATGTAAACCGAAAGAATAAGGGTACAAAAGAAATTAATGATTCAGAGAGACAAGAGCTGCAAAAAAACTTGATTATTTGGAGCTTATCATCCTAGCAATGGGAGATTTTTAAAAACAGTTGAAGAAAAGTCATATGTGGCATACAGACCATAAATGTAAAACAGTAGAGAGGCAGAAGGAATGCTAATATTAAAATAAAAAAAAAATTTAAAACTCTATGATTTTCATCTCAAATTATGTTCCTGCTTTCATTCATTTGTTGCCACTGTGCTCCAGCCCTGTCATTCTACATATCAGAACAGCACTGTTACATCCCAGAGTTATGTCCTAGACCATTATCTACCAATTCCCAGGTCTCTCTTTGCTTGGCTCTCCAGTCTGGCACACACAGTTACAAAACACTTCAGTTCTTTGCAGCTTGAGAGATACTCCTATACTCAAAAGGTGGGGGCTTTTTGCCCTTCAGTGAAGGAAAATACATTTATCTTCTGCCCCAGTGAAGAGAAAGACAGAGAAGACAAGTGATTGTCCTGAGAAAGCCAATAATTTTTTGATCTAAGTCACGTTTCAAGCAACCACACACATTGGAAATTAATTGTCATGAAAATGGGAAATGAAGATTAGTCAATGATACAGCCAGCATGTAAGAGGAAAGATGTTAAAAACATCAAGACATTTAAGATGCTTTCTTCTTTCTGCTATGCTTTCTACAACATTGGGGCAACATTTTTAGGCAGGAGTTGCCCAGAGTCCAAGGCAACAGCCTCAAAGCCTGCACTCTGTTATCCCTAACCAGGGGTAGGAACTCACTCCTAGCAAATGCCAAATCTCTCCCACACTCCTTCAGCATTGCAGAGTTCAGCCCAGTTAGCTGTCTGCACTTGAAAACATTACATACCTGGTGCTCCTGGAAGGCCAGCTGACCCCAAGGGTCCCGGTTTTCCCTTAATGCCAAAAGGACCTCCAGGACCAGGAGGCCCCCGCAATCCAGGGACACCTGAATATCCTGGATGACCCTGTTCACCTTTAATACCCAGGAGGCCTGGTCTTCCATCTAGCCCTGGAAACAGAGAGATGTGAAGTTACAGAACAAATAAAGCAAAATTCACAATTTTAATTAAAAAGTGTGTTTCAATAAAAGCCTTTCAATTGCATTAGATTCTAAGAGAAAACCAGCAAATTACCATCTGTGAGCAGCTCTGAGGAGCTGCAGTGTCTTAAGGAGATTGGAAAAGGTCTTTGAAAGACAAACAGTTTGATGTTCCCAGATACAAGCAGTATCAGTGCTCACCTTTTGGTCCTGGAAATCCAATATCACCTGTAAGCCCTTTATCACCTGGGAGTCCAGGTCGGCCACGTTCTCCCAGGGCTCCACTCTCAGCACCAAATACATCTCCAGGAGCTCCTTTTATTCCAGCTAAGCCTGAAGCACCCATTTTCCCTGGCAAACCATCTGTTCCATCCAGTCCTGGAAGTCCTTGTGACCCTTGGTCTCCTCGAGGTCCAGGGAAACCTTCAAGAGAAAACCAGTAAAAGACACTCAGTAGAAGCACAGAATAGCTGCTTCCATTAGCATCTCGAACAAAACCAACATTTTAAAAAATTCCATGCAAGAAAAAGTTGCTTGAAAAGTTGCAGAATGTTTCAGTACTGAATTAGAAACAGTAACTGGTGATAGAAAGTCACCCCAGTAAATTCCCTCTTACCGGGTTCCCCTTGCAAGCCCATTATTCCTGGAGACCCTGGCTGTCCTTTAGACCCAAGTAATCCAGGTTGGCCTGGAATGCCAGAAAAGCCTTTGCTGCCTTTGGGACCTAAGGGTAAAATTATATTAATTAATAATGCTAACAAAACCAACAGCACAAGAAAACAGGTTCGGATCTTTTCTGCAAAGCTGATGCTGGATACCCTTGCTGGATACACAATTTAAGCTAAACAAAGTCTCAAAGCTATGGCTGCTCATGAGCTACATAAACACAGAAGCAGAGGGTTTGTGTTCAGAGGCTACTTGAAAGGGAAAAAAATGGTGCAATTGTTATGATACTCCATGGGTTCTGAGCCTAGTTACTTGGGAAAAAAAAAGACATTGTTCTGCCAGTTAATGCTCTGGAAAAACTACCACTTGGAGGAGGATTAATTAGGAGGTATTATCTTTCTTGAGGAATAAGTGCTTCTTGGTAGTCAGCCAGTGCATTACATCAGTTGTCTCCCTACCTGGCAGTCCTGGAAAGCCGGGAGTCCCCGGGGGCCCGTATGCTCCAGGAACTATGCAGGGCAAGGTGATACCTAAAACAAAGGAACACTGAGGCTGCACACAGTCCCTTTCAGGCAGGTGGTCAGAAGAGGAACATTTAATATCCAGATGCTTTTTACAGGACACATCACAAGTGGCTGTGAGGGAACTTCTCTGAGACATTTCCTCTTCACGTATTGTACAATAAAGAATGACATTTTCCAAAAAGCAAGCATTTGGGGTACAACTGACCTGGAAAGGGTAGTTTTAATTAATACTGTTCCATTCACCTCACATGGCCTTAAGAACTGTCTTGTGCAAGTTTTTCAAAGACACTTCTGTAAAATAGCACATTCTGTATTTTATATTATTAGTCAGCAGTAGAATACTTGAACAATGGATATTTCGTGTGAGGATCACTGAAATGTAAATAGGATTCTTTCCTTGTGTGTTTTGCAAAATTATGTATGCAAGTCTTGCTGCAAAAATTATATAAGCAAAACTTTACCTTCCCCAGCTTAATACTCTACTTTATCACAGTTTACACAATAATATCTGAATATCAAGGAAATTAAACAATTATGAAATCATCGTGTCAGGCATAAAAGTGAAATACGGGCAATTCCAACATTTTTGGGTAATCTCATAATACCAGTCTAGCTTTTTATAAAACACTGAGTTAGACTTCCAAAGCAAGACAGTTTCACCTTGTTTTACAGCACATGATATGAACTTGAGCAAAATTCCTCAGTGGTGTCTTTGACATGGTAACTTCAGTAGGTCACAGACACTCTCCACGTTTTTGTGATCAGACCTTTCAGTCTGGACAGCATAAGAAATTTCTTCCACCCACCCACATTTCTTCAATATTAGATGAAATTTCCTACATCAAAGGCTCTTTTAATGTATGCAAGTTATTTCCTAGTATGGAGGGAATGATGCATTCACAAGTTTTCTAACACATCTCTATGGAGGTGCAAACTGAACTGACTAATGACTTATTCACACTTTCCCACATATTTTGACTATAGATACTCTTCTACAAAGGACTGCTTATTGTTCCCAAAGCTTTGATGTAGCATTCATAATAAGCTGGTTTCTGATGTGCTCCACAGAATATCTGGAGTTCACATCATGCACAGAGCATTTTACTTTTACTTATCTCACAATGCAATTTTAATTTAGCAGATTTTGTAAGAGACAATTTACTGAACAAAGATGTAAGCATTCATAGCTATGAATTAGTAAAGCTTTTAGCATTTAGCATGTGACTTGAATTGGAAAAAAAGCTTATGCAGACTGTTCCTGGGGGACATTAATGCTAGCTGTCTCCTCACCCCATAACAACAACCCAGCGTGACACTGGTGTGAGGTAATATGGCATCTGGCATAGCCAGCAACCTTCCCAGCACTGTTCTGGCCTGGCTCTCACCTCCCCCTGGGTTTGAGAGTCCTCCGCCAACTCCTCACACTGCACTGGTCTTACCACCAAGTTTTTGAACTCAGACATCAGTTTATCAGTCCAGAAAGCTATGCTACAATATACAAACCTATGCAAACCAATATACAAAGCTATGCCTGCAAATACATTACTGATTCTGCATTATTGATACTGAAAGAATTACAAACCTAGAAGCCCAAGTACACACAGAATGAAAAATACACTGAAAATCAGCAGTGACAAAGAAAAAACACTGCTTGTCTTAATTTATATTTAAATGGCTGACATGGAATCAAGACACTGGGACTAGTTCTCTGCAGTCATTTTGTTATGAAAGTATTTTCCATAAATGTTTAGATGTAACTCAATTTGAGAATGAGCATGAAACATCATATATGAAGCATTATCAAACCCATATTTACTTTATCACTTGTCATTATGGTATGCTTTAGGTACATACAGTGGCACACCAACTAAGCCAAAGTGTAGCACCTGAGAAAGCAAACACAGCCCAGAGCTGGTTGCACCAGTCAAAACTGAACTCCCTACCTGACTGTGGTGACAATCTCTTCAATCAATTCACCAACACCTGTTCGTTCATACAAATTGTTATTTTAAAAAAATCTGGAGCTCTTATTTCAATAGCAGTAATAGTTCTGAAAACTGATTAAGACATCTCAGATATCAGTGAGTTACTATTTTTATCTGGACAATGAAGTAGGCTGTGCTTTTTTAAAAACCTCATATTATCATTCTTCTAAACTACCTTTGGTGTAAAATGATTCTCCAGCAATAGGCAGTGAGCAGGTCCACCTAACACTCTTAGTATTTGAGCACTGCTTGAGTATTTGTTGCTTATTATCTGTGTCCTCCTGAACATGACAACTTGAGAAAGCTGTGACTGCTATGTGAGGTTGGTGAGCCCATGAACCAGTTACAATTAATTTAAAGTTCAATCTTTAGCCTAATGCAACCTTCTAGCCTGGCTACAAGCACAGCAGTAAGTTCAGTGCCATTTGACTTGCAGCTTTGCACCTTTTCATGATAAAGGCAGACCCAACAACACCTACCTGGAGGGCCTGGAAGACCTGCTTGTCCTGGAAACCCATCTGCTCCTGGGTCACCTGGCGGTCCACGAACTCCACTAGGACCCGGATATCCAACGCCAGGAGAACCTATTTCTCCACGATGGCCCTTGGAGCCAGGTAGTCCCGGCAGTCCTTTTTCACCTGGGAAACCTAGGCCACCATCACCCTGTTCACAGCAAAGACAATTACAGCTGAAAATCAAAGATATATAATTTTTAAAACTGCATAAGAGTTTCGTTGTGCAAAGGTTCAGATGAGCCTGGAAAGGTATATGGAAACTACTGTAAATTATCTATCTTTATTTTAAAATGCAGGGAAAGTCAGTGACTATTCAAAAGAATATTTTATGTTCTATTTGCCAAAATGCAAATATTACATTTTCTGAAAGACATTTACTTTCTTTTTAATTAGAAAGTTTCTGGTGCGATTTTTCTATTTCAAGATTTCCCTTGTAGTTATGCCCCCAGTGTCTTTTATCTTTTAGGACACAATATAAAACAGAATTAGGGTCTACCCCACTACTGAAGCTTATCTTTTGACTGGGTAGCCAGAGGTATAAGGATTGGCAATTATTAATCCTGACAAAGACAAATTTGTGCTCCGGGATGTTGAGCTTTTTATGTATTTGGAGATTTACCACAGGGCTAATCACGACCAGTTAGCTAGGCCTGGCCACTGTCTCTGCTCCTTATTCCAGATTTGAAGCACTGCTGCTAAATTAATTTGGACTTACTGGAGGGCCTGGTGGGCCTGGCAAGCCTGGAAGTCCATCCCTACCAGGAGTTCCCGGGATGCCTGAAGGTCCTCGGGGTGCTGTCGCACCACGGTCCCCACGGGCACCTTTGGCTGTTGCATAGGATGGATCCCCTTTTTCTCCCTTAGGGCCTGGAAGACCTTGCTGACCAGCTGAAGCCTACACACCAAAAGATAAAAAAAACCCAGGAACATGAACATGCAGAGAAAAGGCTTTGCTTCTTAAAAATATATGAGGAAATGACTGGAGCTGGAAAGAATCTCCAAAGGGTTTCCTATTGTATACATTGCACTGGGCAAAAAAAAAAAAAAAAAAGAGGTTTGATTATTTTCAACTGTTTCTACTGTCACTACAGCTTTACATGGCAAGACAAACCCTGGTATACAGCACTAGAGAGACAGCAATCTTGTATGGCATCTGGGAACGTTATATCACTCATGATATAACAGGACCCAAGTACTGAATCTTCTTCCCTATTCCTTGGTGTGCTGCATTTACTGACACTAATAAAGATATTCTGAAGCTGAAAGATTGGTATCTTTATGGACCACAATTTTCAAAAGTAAATACTTAGAATGAGCAATGCTCAGCACTTTGGAAAATCCTGTTTGTTATGGCTGCTGTTTGATAAAACACCCAGCTCAACTCTCACTGATGTAATTAGCATCCAGCAGTCAGGAGGCAGACTGCATCTACGGTGCACAGTTTTTACAGCTATGAGCAATGATGTGGAAAGATCTCAGTGTCTGATTTTTCAGATCTTCTCCCCATGCACATGTACATCTGCTTCCCCAGTCAGCCCTCACTTAGAAAGAGCCCTGGGTCTAATCCATGTATGTCTACATCCAAGAAGTCCTGGGGTGAATAACTGCTACTGTTTTCCTCTTGACTGATGAACGTGCAGTTCTCAGAACTTAAGAACCATTTCTTCTCCCATTTTTTATAGGTGATGCTGTCTCTACTTTCAGCTTCTTTTTACAGATCAGTTTCGAGGTTGTTTTTTTCTTTTTTAAATCCAAACAAATAGAAGACATTATGGAAAAAAATAAAAATGTGTTCTGCTTTCACTACATTCAACACCAGCAATTGCACATGGGCACTTCTTCTCCTTTAATTCATGACAACCAATATAAACTCTTCCTGCCTTACCGGAGGGCCTCGCAGTCCTGGTGCACCCACAGTGCCTGGGTCTCCACCAATGCCCTTAGCACCAGGCACACCAGGGCTTCCCGACGGACCTGGTGGACCTGAGATGCCTTTTAGACCAGCTCTTGTAACTCCTCCATCACAAGCACAATCACCTGCCTCTCCTGGAAAATACAGTCAACACTCCAAACTCAGTTTCATTTGGATAAAGACCCTTTTCAGTTGCAAGAGCTTTAAAAGGAGTATTTGATTCCATTAAGACAAAGCCATTCTCATATGATTTGATTTTATGTCTCCTCTGCTCAGGTGATGAGAGTGCCAAGCAAGTGGAGCTCAGGTTTTCTCCAGCTGAATTTCTGTGCAATGCCCCTCACCAAATTACCATGTGCAGCATAAACCTCAGCACTTCTAGACCTCTTCCCAAAGGTTTAAACCTTCCTAAACAGATGGGCTTAGGAGAGCTTTAGGGAAGTCTTGTTGGTTTTTTTAGAGATAGTTATTATGTCAGAGAAAGCAACTCCATACTTCCACTCACAGTAGGTTACAATGACCCTCACCTGAATCTTTATATTTCCCTGAACTGTAATTGGCCATGGATCCAAACAATCACCAAGCACAGTGGTGTCTGCATCATAACAGCTTTTGCTGCTGATTCTGTCTAACACTAAGACCCAAATTCTCACAAATTTTAGCACAGAAGAGAATAAAATTGAGTTTCTCTGTCATTTACAGTCTGTATTGCCAAAAGCAGTGAACATGATTTTATTTCTAGGTCTCACTGTATCTTATGGCTTTAAAGCATAACTTACTTAGCTAATTTTCTGGGTATGAGATATTTATTGGCTTATTTGGCTGAGCAGAGTAGAAGGCAAAAATAGGATTTTACTGGCAGTGCTGGGCATAACTCTGTCTAAATTGTAAAGGCTGTTGGCTCCTTTAACCCAGCTCAACCTCCTGTGATTTGTCATAAAGACACATCTCATCCCTTAGAATATTAACCACGTATAAATGTATTTCTGAGGCCCAGTGACTGCTAAAAGGGTCTCCCAAAACAAGAGTCATTTACCTTTGTAGCCCTTTGGACCCAAAGCTCCTGGAAGCCCTCTTTGTCCAGGCTCCCCTGGGGCCCCAATCCTTCCACTCAGGATCATGTCTGGGGAGAATGAAGGGCCTATATGCAGAAAGAAGGCAAGGAAAAGCCATGAGAAGGCTGATTTCCAGCTCTTTACTGACTTATAGTGTCAGTTTTGCAGCTGACAGAAATGGCACTGGATGAAACCGCAACTGTGGAAGTTACACAAGGAGGTGGAACTTGGTTGGTATCATGGGTTGCAGTCCTCTGCCACATTCGCTTCCAGCTCCTCATACAGAAAAGCAAAAGCTCTCAAAACGGGGATGCAACAGAGTTTCATTCCCCTGCTCTGCCACTGCACCTTTTGGCAGACTTAGCTGGCCAAAGAACTCACCAAACTGTGAACAGGAGGTACAGAGAAGGGCAAATGGCTTCTCATTCAGTGGTTGCAGCTCAGGAAAGACATTAAATGGTGAAAAGTTTAAGGGGACTTGTCCTGTCCCTCACTTCATGACTGCAGGATTATTTTCTACATCTGTTTATATGCTGAATAGAATGAAACATAAGCTGACGGAAACAGCAGTGGAAAGTGATCTAACATAATCTAAAACTACACTGTCTGAAAACCCTTCCCCTCAGTGACAACAGTAAGACCGAGTGCTGACCAGCACCGTCTGATGTGCCACGGAAACAAACTGCAACCATCAGCTAAACACAGCCACAAGAGCTTTACAGACTCTGCAGAAAAGTGAGCCAGATTTGACTAGCAAACAGTTATTGATAAGAGACCACTTATTTCTTCTGCATAGAAAATCATTTCATCAGATCATGCTCACTGGCTCCATCATTGGAGCCTGTCCTGTTTTGAAAGGTTGGCTCTCAAAAATAAAACTGGCTGTTTGAATGCAGCTTATGGTGGAATGGTAAAACACAAAGTTTTGTAAAATCAACCCTTTTCATGTAATACTCAGTTTCTGAGGAAAATAAAACAATGCACATTTAATTAATAAGGCCATCTATACAAATGAACATGTAAAAATAAAATCACATTTCATTAGATCTGAGAACTGTCTCTTCAGGCATCCTATCTGACCCCTGGTACCCAAAATACCTACTCACAAGACAGATATTTACCTCAGGTGTTCATAAGGTCATGGTCTATTCTTTACCTAAGCTAATAAGAGACTAGCCTAGAACTTCAAAGTGTCATAAATTGTGTTTACATAACCTTATGCTTCAGTCTCTCAGGCTACCACTCTTAACAATAATTAGCTCTATTTTCTTACTTCATAGGAGTGGCTGCTGATATATTTAAGTTTGTGGGTTACAATCACAAAGAGGTGTCAGTCAAATATTTAAGATTTGCTAAATAAATAAATTTGTCTTGTTTCACTCTGAATCCAATACAAAAACAGATGTAAAAAATATACATACGTGGTGGACCAGGCAATCCTGGTGCTCCTGGCAGACCCGGTAAACCACCTCTGCCGGGAGGGCCTGGTAAGCCAATTGTTGCTCTTCCTGGTTCTCCCACTTCACCCTTCACACCTGGAATACCTGGAGACCCTCCAGGGCCCATTCCATCTAGACAACAATGACACAGTGAGCAGCTCTCCAGTAGAAAACACATTCTAGTACTTTTAATGCTATGAAAATTACTGTTGTGCCCTGAACTACAACCATGTTAGCACAGAACAATTTGTAATTGTACACGAAGGAAAAAGTACTAATTGGAGGCACCAACTGGCTTAAATTTACACACTCTTTTGGTCATCCAAAAAGCTTCACAGCACTGCATTTAAGTCCCACTAATGAATTAGACAAATAACTATGTAAGACTGAGGGAGTTCCTTTCACTGAGACAATTTCCTTAGTAGTTCCTAGTCTCTGGATCATTGCAGGCCAGAACTTCACAGATGACATTCAAGTGAAAAAGATCTCTTTTGAGTAAGATCTTTGATGGGGCAAATGGGTTGCACCAGCCATGGGCTTATCTAGACAATCTGCTAGCTCTTTACTGCAAACATGAAAAGTCATTAAAAAAATTTAAGAAGCATTCACTAGGATTTAAAATGTAGGAAGGGTTCTGCCAACCAACTCAGTCAAAATAGAAATCAAACAACAGCCTCCTGTGTGCACTGCTACACCAAATAGTCACACATGAACACTTACCTGGGCTGTCATAACTGTGGCACTAACTCTGCTCCCATCCAGGTCAACACAACTGGCTTGCCTGTGTGACATCCCTGTCTCCTATTTCTCATACAGCAGTCTGCAAATCAGTCAGCTGAAGGAGCAGGGACAGGCTTGCACCAATACCTTCACCGTCTCCAGGCCACTATCCAGATAATTCCCAGCAAAAAACACAGCAAACAGCTTGTAAGAGTACTGTAAGCAGCTGCTTTACCTATCTCCAGGCCTGGAAACCCTGGAGCTCCTGGAAGGCCTGGTAAACCACTGATCCCTTCATCTCCTGGAGGACCAGGTATTCCCGGGTTTCCAGGGTCACCTGGTGCACCTATTAGACAAAGAGGAAAACAAGGAAGAAACTCTCAGAATTTCTGCTGGAAAACTCTTCAGTCAGTTCCTGTAGTAGCCACTCATCTCATGGACAGCAAAGGCTGCCAAGCTGTTAGCAGGAAGCCTGTTAGTCAAAGTTAATAATAATGGGAAAAAAATCCTCCTGAGCTGTTATAGAGGTTGTTTCAAACTTGACTACATGTGAAGGAAGAAGAATAGGACAGACCATACAATTTGTCCCCTTACCTTTATGGCTTCACAGACTGTTCCCATTGAGGCCTCGGTCAACTGTGGCATTAATTAAGCTCATTTTCTCAACAATATTCTTACCACATTGAACAATTCAGAGCCCTCATTACCAAGCAACACAAGGAAGCCACTTTTCCCTGGTACACCGAAGACGGACAGAGTAGACACACAGCACAGACTCTGTGCTTACAAACAGTCTGCCTCCCAGGCACAAAATTTCAACCTGCCTTGAAACAGATCATCCTGCAATGTGGGGATGAAAGACTTTCTGTAAACTCTGAAGCTATAAACAAATGCCAACAATACAGAAATTAAAGGAAGAATAACAAGGGGTGGGTTAGACCCAATATACAATGTGGAGAAGTGGTAAAATACAGTAAGAAGGAAAGTTGGATCAGAAAAAGTGCTTTAGATGAGTTCCAAAACAAAAATGAAATGGGTACCTGAAATGACTACACCTTCCCTGTCAATAACGACAGGAGGGCCTGGGGGACCGATGTCACCTAATTCACCCTGCAGAGAAAACAGATTCATGTCACACTGAGATGGGTGATGGAGAGGAGGAGTGCTTGTCAGGAAACACACTGTATTGTGGTACCAATGTCTGTGGTCATTCTCTACCCATCATTCCTTGTGTTGGTGAAGAATTCACTTTGTTCTGGTATTCATAATCATCTGCTGTCCCGACTTACACCCTCCTGTCTGATGAAGCTGATGGCTGCCTCAGATAAGATGGCTGCTACTATCCAGCCATCCTCTGAAGGCATCCCACTACCTCCATAGGAAGCATGGACTTGTACATACAATGTGTACTGGAGACCAAGTATTGTATCAGCACATTGACCAATATCAGGTAGATGACATCTGTTCACCTTGTGGTAAAAGCTGCTATGAACATACTCATTTTTAAAAGCATCCATCACTGCAGCTATCTGTTGCCTTGGAATCCTGAATTTCAATAATAGGAGCTTCTAGGAAAATGTACTGCTCCATAAAATCATCCAGGTAGAACAAGCAAGCTGTTATCAACTGCAGTGTCACTCCATCCTCTCACTGATACTCCCAGAGAGTATCAGATCCTCTTTGAAATAGCAAGTGCAAAATCTGACTGCTGTCCAAATTACCGTCATATTTATCACATAAACGCCACGCAGTGAGCCAAGGCAGTGCACACTTTGCTGTTCTTCAAGTAATATTCCTTTGTACATAAACCTCTACTACTACATCTTCCATGTGCTTTGCATGAAAAACCCCTTCTGTACCTGTATTTCACGTCTACCAACCACAGAGCAATCTTGGTGGCAGATCAGTTTTTTTCACAGCGAACTACTATCCAATCATTTTCCACTCAGTTTACAGCTGTCTGACTCCTTAAATTGTGAGATACCCAGAAAATGTCTGCTATGCATTGTCTATCTCCAGTACGATGAACTGAACACATAATTTTCTACATTATCAGATCTAAGATCTCAGATAGCCTTGACAACTATCTTAACATTCACTTACTTCCACCTAATCTTGCCTCAGCTGTCCAGTAAATATGGCATTGGTGAAAGGATAAAGGAGACCAGAAAGTCTTCATCTACAATTCTAAGTCATGAACTTGCATGATTGAACATTGAAAAAATATTAAAATACCACAGTTCAACAACCAATCACTTTTATGCTTAACAATAAAGTAAGTGATGAATTGAAACATACTGAAAATTATAGTGATACACAGGTAAAGAGAAGGTTTAACTAGGGCAACAATGCTTATTTATTCCTACAAACATCTTTAAAAAAGCAACGCTTTAGTGAGAAGTTACCTTCATGCCTTCTACTCCATCCAGTCCTGGATAGCCTGGAACACCTGGATGACCCTGCAAAATCACACAGGGAACACTGATACAGAGTGAGACAATAAGTGGCATTATTTGTTAGCTGAGACATCTTCAGTGCCTGGACTTGAACCACAAACCCAACTCATCTGAAGAAGAAATAGAGAAAATTGATGGCATCAATTTCTCAGCACTTGTAAAATATCAGAGCTCCTTCAGGCCTCCCTGTGCTGTAAAGATGATGAGAACCTGTGAGGATGTGCAAGCCAGGAGGACACCTTGGAGTTCAACTTCAGTATATTTTGAAAAGGATGTACATAAAATATAGAAGAAAGTGACTGAACACGCAGGGTTAACTAGAGAGACAGATCAAGAGATTTAAATTTTATATGGACTTTCTACTTAGCTTCACTATTTTAAAATCCGTCAGAGAACTTGCAGCCACTAGATAAGGAAGTCAGTAAACCTTAAGCAGTTAGATGGCTTCTGTAACTGTAAGCACAGTAAAAAATAAAAGAAATCTCACCTTTCTCCCTGGAATCCCATCAGATCCATCCAGTCCCAAAAGACCCTAGAGCAGCCAAAAAAATTAACTTTCAGAGGCTTCCTCTCAGGTTCATCTTATTAAATCAGGCTCCAAATATCTCAGCACCAAAGAATGAAAAGTTAAAATTTTCAGAAAGAGAAGCTACCACTGATTTTCCTATCTCTCAAATATTAACAATCACAATGGGAAGAATTTAACAGAATAATTGATAAATGAAGTCTTATCTTATTTAGCCATTGTCTTTCTAATTGGCAGTTCAAGTTAATTAGGTCATGGTGTCTCAACTTCCTAAGAAGTTAGGTCATTAGCTTGTAATTATAAAGCCATAAATCTTAATGCAGTCAAGACTTTCTATCTGACAATTTATTCTGCATATGCAGAACAGAATGCCTTGGTCTTCCTGTTGTCTATAAGCACATCTCTGCAGGTGGTTTGAAGAACCACAGGCTGGTGTGTGCCTGAGCACGCTGTTAACTTCCACATTCATTGGCCAGACAGACCAATGTGTGGCCAGCTTGCCCCATTTTTTACCCAAATATCTATCTGTGTTCTCTCATGGCTGATTCTGGCACTGGCTAAGAGCTCATTAAAGTACATGCAAGGCCTCTTTATTATCTTCATTTGGACTTCTGCAAGCTTCCTTTTCTGTGAAGCTTTCAAAAAAACTGGCAAAACACTGGCCCTGCAGTATCAAGCCCTCCACTCAATACTTCATATGACTTTTTTGGGCTGCCTTGTCTGTGTACATCTTCATCTCACCTTTAATCTGAGGCTTTATTGAGGTAAGAATATCTACTTGTAAGAATATCTCTTGTTGTATGGTGCTGGCTACTCTGGGACTCAGTCCTATGTCTGAGACTCTTACATGCTTTGGGAATGCTTCTGTTCATGAAAGGCCCACTTCATGTGTTCAAAAACAGGCATTTAAGGACTTTGTGAAGTTACCTACCCTGCCACCTGGTAAGCCAGGCACACCTTTTTCTCCTTTTTCTCCAACACCTCCAAATCCCTGAGGAAAAATATCAACATTAAATCTGTGTTCTGTTTGGAACTGAACAGCACAGCCCTAAGTAAAGTGAGCACAAACCAATTTATTAACATAAACAGTACAACAGAGAGATAAAGGGAACTGACTGTTTCTGCTGGGACTATTTTGCCCCAAGAAGAAAACCTCTATCAGCCAGACTTGGCAGGATGTGCAGCACAGTACCTTCTTCACTCCCCAAGAATTCCATCCATTTAAATCATGGTACATATTCCAGTTGCAAATGCAAGGGACAGCAAAGACCTGCCAATGCTACTCTGTATTCCATTCTACATTTAGAAATTATTTGAAATCTCATTTCTTAACTCTGGCAGCTCAGGGGAATGCTCAGAGCACGTTTTTCACTTCTAAAGCCTCAGAATGACACAAAGCTAGCATTTTCACGCTCAACACTGGGAAATGTTTGGTGGCTTTCCCAGTCAGCAAGAAGTATCAAATCCAGAGACAGAACACCAGGATTTAATTTCAGCAAGAGTTACAGTAGTTAAGCAATTTTCAGGCTTCAGTCTTAAAATATCTTACGGTTGAGGTTAAGTTTGCACATATGTTCAGCTTCACCAGCTTCAATGGGTCTCTTGTGATGCATAAAGCTAAAAATGCACATAATGGAGCATGTCCAAAGAGGCTAATAACAAATTGTACTTCATGTACAGGTTTTTCTTGCACGTATTTCTACTAAGAACATCTGTACATTGAAGAAACTGGCAAACAATTTATCTCATTAGTCAGAAGTTCCTCAAAATATTTATTCCCTAAACTTAGTGAAACAACCTCTGTTTACAAAAGATTATAAGCTGGGAAATAGTTCTCTGGAATCCATGGATAATTTGTTGCTCTTGATTCATATAGAGAAGATGCTTAACATTGCTGAGTTTATGAGCACTAATGTTAAACAGCCCATTTTAACTGGTTATATATATATAGACAGACAGAAAGATCTGCATGTGCTTTACAGCTTTAAAGTAAAATAACAAAAGATGTGTTTAGACATAATTAAAGGGGGAAAAAAAAGAATTTTTAAAGATGTCTGTGGGCCATCAAGGAACACTGCCATCAAGTGGCCATGTCCCGGGTACAGCTACGTGCAGGTTTCCTCTGAAATGTTGGCTGCCTTCTAAGTGGATGGTAGGACAGCATTATCTTCCTTGTATCTACAGCACAAAAAAATACCAGATTAGAGTTCACACTCAGCAAAAGGTCTTGTGGACGTTCTTATCAGATTTTCAAAGTTCTCTGGTGCCTAGAAACTCCTGTGGAGATCTTGTGAGCTATTCAGAGAGTGTGGAACCATCTAACTCATAGTAGGTAAATATTAAAAACCCTTCTCTGTCCTTACCGGAATGCCAGGCAATCCTTTGTCTCCAGGTAATCCTTGAGGGCCCGGCTCACCCTGACAAGGGGGAAGAGACAAGCACAATAAATCACTGTGCCTGTGAAAGCAAGACTTTCCCCAATTCAGTCCTCATGCTCCTGACACCTAAAGCAAGGCCTTGTAATTTGTTTATCAGCAAATACACTGGATTTGTGTCACCATGTACCAGAAAAGTGTCTCTCAGCAGACAGACAGGTCCCAGATTAATTCAATATGCCTAATTTTAATGTGTGTAGAGAATTTTTAACAAGATCCATACAGCTTTTTTAAAAACACTGATGACCTCAATATGTATCTCAGAGAATTCCAGACTAACAAAATAAAGGTGGGAAATCTGATTGTTTCAGAGCACTGTGCACCAAAGCAAGAGCTGGAGCTTTCATTTATTTTTCTAAATTGATTGGAGTTTTTCACTTCAGTTGACACAATTTCACAAATCCAACAAAACCAGACTACAGTTCATTTATTTTTAGGATTAATGATGAAAACCTCAAATAGCTTTCAGATTTCTCCTTCTCAGAGGTGTGCATTTTGTAGTGGCTCACAATGCTCTGAGCTAAGAATATTTTTATTCAATAGCCATTTGACAGAACAAACTAGTACCGAAAATTCTTTTGATTCGGAAATGTAAGAGCTCTCACTGTCCAGTAATTTTGCTAATTCTTGAGTGAAGGTGCATGGGGAGGGAGAGGGTCTGTGAACTGCATTTACAGACCTTTTCTCCTTGCTTTCCTTTTGGAAATCCCATGAATTCCAGTATGCCAGTGGATGGTGGGGGACCTGGAGGACCAGGTAGCCCTACATCGCCCTGATGACAAAAGAGGAAGATATTAGGATATGCAGAACATGTTTAATTTTCTATGGAAGTGACCTGCAAATCAGAAGAAAAACAATTCTAATTATATCTCACGTATCTAAATCTGTGTGCCTGAATGCTGGCACAGGAGTTTGGTCATGGAAGTCAGAAGTTCAGAAGGAAAATTAAGATGACCAAAATGCATTTGTTTCCAAAGACTTGTGGGCATAAAAACATGGCAAGGGGGAAAAAAAAGAAAAGGCTCAGCACTTAAATCAACAGGAAAACATTCCAGAAAAACTCTGGGGAGAAATATCAAAGAAAAGAAGGGAAGGAGCTATTAGAAATGTAGAATGCCGAGAATTAATTTTAACAGCAGCAGAACCAAGTCTCAAATTGAGAACTTTAAGAAGCCCCATTATGCCAGTGTAAATTCTCACACAGAATGCAGGACATCCATTTAGGGTACTGAGACAATAAATTATGTGTTGGTTGACCCAAAGAATATCATGAAAGCTAAAAAGAATGAAGTCAGTGGAACAATTCAAAATGAGGTGAGGGTTAAAAGCAACTGAAAGAAGGAGATTGAAAAGATGTCTAAGGACCTCATGTCTTGATAACCACAAAAATACTCAATATTTTCCCCTTCCTCTTCTTCACCCAGAGAAAGCTCCCACTCTTTTTTTGTGTACCAACAGATAAGGAACCAGCAAGACTCTTTAGTATTTGGACTGTTAATCAGTCCAAGAGAGGAAAAGAAAAAGGAAAGGAAGAGAATGCTGGAATCTAGCAACTTTCTAGAGGAGTAAGCTGTGATGGAACACTAGAGTATTATTTCATGTTCCCTCCATAACAGAACAAGTTTCACCTACCTTTTCTCCTTTCTCTCCTTGAAAGCCTAATCCCATGTTACCCTAGGAGAGGAAAAAACCCAAGATGAACGAATAATAAAACAACAGCAACAACATCATCACTATCCTCTAGGCCCACAGCACTGTTTAAAAACACAACAATCAGGTGTAAAAGGAAGACAGGAAAGGTAGGTACTTACTTTTGGACCTGGTGGCCCAGGAGGACCCACTGGACCCTAGATATGAACAAGAGCAAGATTTTATTCCTCTTGACTTAATTAGGATGCAATTGAAGCAATGCTGGGATCTGCAGTGGTACCTGAACTTTCTTGCCTCCAAACCAAAAGTGATACACGTGGTCTTAAGTCTTCTCATCTCTACTAGTACAGCCCTTTGGCACTGTCCTTAATTAAGAGCAAACTTCAACTTAAAGTCAACAAACATGTAGCTTGTTTTTACCTCTTCCCAATGGAAACTCTCTTGTAGGATCTTGAAAAGGCAACTCTAGCACAGTTCATGACAACAAAGGCTCCGAACATGCAGAGATCAGACTATTCCCTCTAGTCCTGAGACCAGGAAGGGCTCAGAACAGTATAATGTAGTGTTTGTACACAGCACCCTAGAGCTTTGCTGGAGCCCTCACTCATGATTGTTGCTCTGGACACTCCAGAGAGGAGACCTGTGATCAGATTAAACTATCCAAGACTGAGCATTCTGTGCTTGAAGTCAGCTGTGCTCAGTCCTTTCAGATGCACACACACTTTTGCTCCTCGTCAGGACACAAATACAGAGCAGGAGGGAAAACCACCAAGAGTTTGAACTGTTCTATCAACAAGTGCAATGCCTGAGGTCTCTTACCTGCAAACCTGGTAACCCTATAGGGCCTGCAGAACCTACTGGACCTGGAAAACCTTTTGGGCCCTACAAGGAAAACAGGACAAGTAGTGAATGTGCAGCATTTACCCCATCAAACCCCAACCAAAGATGAAGTGAGTCTCAGGAAACATTAAATAATATCCCCTAATTAAGTATGCCAATTTAAATACTGTAACAATCTATTTCACATGATCAGATGTATTTTGGAAATCAAAGTTACAGAGTTCAGTGGTAGAAGGGAGTTTGGTTTGAAAAAGGAATAATGGAATAGATAATTCTGACTTTCTCCAGCATAATGTGGATCCACTCTTAGCATTACAGAGCTGGAACTCTGAGCTCACACTACTGCTATCACATATAAATACACATCCCAATAATCTGAAAAGTGTCCTTGAGAACTAATACCTGAAAATGTACCTACTTAATATTCTTTAAAATCATTATTTCCCAAATTAAATAACTTACAGGAATTCCATCCAATCCAGGAAGACCATTTTCTCCCTAGAAATTATAAATGAATGATAAAAATTACACAGGTCAAGGAAAATTATCAGGTCAAGTGTAAATGGGAAAGTAATTTGAAATCTGTGCTACCATATTTGAACTGGGTAATGGTGAGCTTCCAAAACTCAGGAGAAATTACAACCATTTTATTTATGTGTAACAAGAGAAAATTAATTTTAAAAAATTATAAGACCACTATAAATTATGCAAAAGCATACCATTATAATACAAAACTATCCGTATTTCCCATAAATATAGTAGTAAATAAATAGAGACCTACTTAACTTTTACCAACTTATGAGTGTACATAATGGGGTAGAATTTTACAAGAGTTCCTAATTTTGACCAATAAAGTCAGTGGGAAAGGCCTTATATGACAGAGGAAATTTCTTAATATTTTCAATATTTAATGAAGCATAAGGCTGCTAAAAATTGCTGAATTCAGCACCATAAGAGGTACTGAATCTTTTGTAGATTTATTCCAAAGTTAGTACTTCTGGCAAAAATCAAAATCATGGTAGGCTGGTGAGTGTTTGTTTCAAGGCAACAGAGAACCAAATTTTTTCCATAAGAATATTCAAGAACCTGTTCAAGAACCTAGTTTGTATTTTCTATACAAGAAAATAAAAATAAAAATAATTACAGACTTGATACAGACCTTTCAGGGTAAGTTCCTTATTGACTTCACAGCAGCAAAACATGAAATACTCTAAGTGGAATATGACTTCATGTATGTAAACCAAGAATATCACTGATTACTTACTAGTACCTTCCAGTACAAAAAAACACTGGGAGGCAGCTGGGTCTCACAGTAGGAATCATAACATGCACTGAGCAGGAACAGGATGAGCATCTCAGCATGGGAGGAACAAGATCTCTGCACAGACTAAGCAACTCCAAGTTCTGAGAGCATCCTGTGTTGTCATTAATGAAGTAATTCTTGGGCCTTTTTCACAGCTCTGCATTCAGACATGCCCAAGACACCCAGGACTGACACCATGAGCAATTGAACCTGCAGTGTCAGCCCTGCAACCTGTAGGATATCAAAGTATTCCTTGTATTGCATTTTCTCCTGTGTAATGACAAGTCTTACCTTCATTCCTTTAAGACCACCTTGAGCAAAAACAGGTTCTCCTTTAATGCCTTTTGGGCCAGGACGACCCTGGTTTTAAAAAAAAAAAAAAAAGGTAACAAATAAATTTTGGGGAAAAAAATACTGCTTTAGTTTTGAAAGAATCTATATTCAGCATAATGAACAAGGCAAACTCCTGGCTCCAGTAAACTGTAAAAGTACCACTGATCCTTTGTCAGAGAAGCTGTGCTATTGTGAGAACTAAAGACTTCCTGCAGCTTTAGAAACACAAGGTTCTGCAAATATCTTCTCTGGAATTTTCCTGCTTATATTAGCTTTCCCTTTTATTTTAGGCCTTTGACAACTTTAGATCCCATTTGAATTCATTTGACATGGTGTAACCCCCCTGTTCATATGCATAACAATGCCATCCAAGAAGGACCTTGACAGGCTTGATGGGTGGGCTCATGCAAACCTCACAAATTTCAACAGGGCCAAGTGCAAGACCCTGCAACTCAGCTGGGGCAATCCCAACCAGGGATTTAGGCTTGGCTGAGTGGATTGAAAGCAGCCCTGGAGAAGGACTTGGGAGTACTTGTGGATGAAAAACTGAATATGAGCTGTCAGTGTGCACTCGCAGCCCACAAAGCCAGCCCTGTGCTGGGCTGCATCCAAAGCAGTGTGGGCAGCAGGTCAAGGGAGGGGGTTTTCCCTCTCCACTCTACTCTTATGAGACCCCACCTGGAGTGCTGCATCCAGCTCTGGAGGCCACAAAGATGCTCCAAGGGCTGGAGCACCTCTGCTATGGAGACAGGCTGAGAGAGCTGGGCTGTTCAGCCTGGAGAAGAGAATGCTCCAGGGAGACCTCAGAGCCCCTTCCAGTACCTAAAGGGGAGTCTACAGGAAATCTGGAGAGGAGCTTTTTGTCAGGAGGTGTAGTGATAGGACAAGGGGGAATGGCTTCAAACTGACATAGGGTAGGTTTAGATGAGATATAATGAATAAATTCTTCCCTGTGAGGGTGTTGAGGCACTGGCACAGGTTGCCCAGAGAAGCTGTGGCTGCCCCATCCCTGGAAGTGTTCAAGGCCAGGTTGGATGAGCACCACTCTCTGTGGAGCTCTAGGGGAGCCCAGTTGAATATATTAAACATGTAACTTTAAGGTATCCAACGCAGACAAGATAAAACTCCAATCTGGTGGTAGAGAAATGTTTTCAAAAGTAAAAGATATACTTACTTATACATACATATAAAATAAATACCCTGGAAAGTGAATTCTATTTAGCAATCAGTGAGTCTGAAGTTTCTGGCTATCTTAAGGCCTCAAGGAAGGCATCCAAAATTTGATGAATAGACTTGAACATGTGGTAACATCCTTTCCTGAATCAGCATCCACTAACTTAAAACATGTCAGACAGAAGATGTTCCACACTTTCTTCTGAGTTGGCTTGAATAGTGCCAGTAACAATGGTATAATTTGGTGTGGGAGCATATTGAGTCCACAGGATCTTCATTTTATCCTCAGAGTGGAATTTCAGTAAGAAAATTATACTGAGCTCTAACAGTTGTAATAAACTCAGGGTTATCCGGGTTCTTCCTAAGTACTTGGCAGTTACTTCTCCAGCAATGTCATGAAAAGTAAATCCTGGCTTAGTGACTACAGAACACTGCATTTGAGTTGGGACGTACAGGCAGCCCAGGTAGGCCAGGAAAGCCATCTGATCCAGAAATGCCAGGACTCCCAGTGGTACCATTGCAGCCATCGAGGCCAGGCAGACCTCGAGGTCCAGGTTGCCCAGGGTGACCCTGTGTAAAGGGAAAACAAGAGAATGACTAACAGGATCGATTATTTTATTAGTAATACTGTTGTCTCCAGAAAACTGCTCTCTTCCTTCCAAATGGCAACACAACCCAAAAGAAATGCACAACTCCCAGGCAAGCTCAGTGTATGGCAGACTGCAACGGAACGAGCATCTTCAGCCAGCATTGTTTATCCTCCCTGAAGGTTCAATCTTAGAACACTGGCTGCATTCATCTGATTACCTTTTTCTCCAAGGGGTAATTTTCTGAAGTACATAACTTGTGCATGAGTAGGTCCCAAAAGGGCAATACTCATCCCACAGCAGTTCTGAAACATATGGCATGTAACAGTGTTAAACAGCACACAAGGGTGCACCTGACACCAGGAATGGGAGTTGCTCATGTGAAAACAAGAGCAGAGGCAGACTCAACAATACTGAGCATTTATAATTCCAATCTGCTTAGAGTTTCAGTGACTTCTCTTCCTTTCCAGCATGGATTCTTTCTTTTAATAGATCAACAGATGTTAAAGCTCCAGCATCAGGCCATTCAAGCAAAACAGCTTTACTTATTATAATGAACTTTAAACCTTAGGCAAAGCAACTGGGAGAAAGTACCAATTAAATTAACAACATTTTAAAAAAAGTATTTGTAATACCAATTATTAATCAAGCAGAGCAGAATTGAATTGTACCTAACTTTGATTTCACACCTCTTTTGCCCTGGTGCAGCTCTACTAATTTGACTGGAGTTCATGGTACTGGTGAAAAGGAAATCAAAGTTTGAGACTTTAGTTACTTTTTCTTCAGTGTCATACAGGTTATGTGAGGCAGAACACACAAAGGCAGAACTATCAGATACATTGCCCAGGTTTCAAGCAGCTCCTTATTCTATACTCCTTTTCCTATAAATGAGTCCTGTGGTGCTCAAAGACAGTGTTTTGAGGCAGGAAATAAAATTAAACTTATGGAGACAGTACTGGTAACTTGACAGTTCTCTCCCTCCCCTCTGCACACAGTGATCTTGATTCATCCCAAAAGTACTTTCATTTGAGCCCAAAGATCCATCCTTAAGATATGGCACTAAACAAGGTATGACTCACACTAGCAAAGTAAAAAAAATAAACATGGATAAAATGGAGATAAAGCAGAACATTAATAACCCTTCATGCCTGACACTTAAAACAAAACACATTTGCATCACTGAAGGTCTTCCCAGTCCAAGCCAATAGTATATGCTCTGATCAAACTCAATCACAACTTGACAGTAATGAAAAACCTTTGATCTAAGGATCTTAAAATCCCTTGTAAAAATGTGGGAATGCTATAGTCTTCATTTTATGGATGGGAAGCTGGGGGCACACAGTAGCAGAGTGACTATCCCAAGGATGTAGAGCAACTTAGGCCCTAATTACATAAATACTCAAGCTGATCACTGGTCCCAGCTGCTGCCAGGAGCACTATTGCACACTCCTGCTTACTCACAGCTACCTCCTCCCTGTGCTGGCACAGGCACAGGCAGAACAGATGAGTGAGAGCAGGAAACATCCACAGCAGAGAAATAACTGTTCTGTTTCTTAATGGGGTTAATTTTCCAGCCAGATGAGGTCCTTGGTCCAGCTCATTTGACAACTGCATTGAAATTCGTGGCAACAAAATGGAGAGAGCTCAGATCTGCTTTTTCTGTCAGTCAATAAGGTATAACTGAATGAATGGCAAGTGCATCTCAACCACAGGGTCAAGGCAGCTCACCCAAACAAGTTTAAATTTGAGATTTAACAAGGCATGGAATGAAGTCATCCCAAAGCATTAGCATCAGACACCACTGCATTAATAGTACCAGTTGCTCTGATGATTAAAGTCTGTTTGTCAAAATATCCACATGTGGTGTGCAAGCAGGGACTTGCCAGGCTCTGGTAAAGTAACAGGAATAAGCTGAAGCACCAATTTATTGCCACTTGTGTTTGTCTCTTAGAAATTATTTAATTCCCAAAGCAGGAACAAATCAGTGGCAACCCACCAGTATCTACCAGGTCTCTCACTTTGTTTACAGCATCAACAAAACCAGGAGCTATGTGGGACAAGTGCACACATATCTGGTTACAGCATAAGGTGACCAGCTGCAAGGTTCAGTGAAGCTGAAGGGCCAACATCTGCCCCTCAGGGCGAGACACAGGGAGTTAAGCTGCTAAAGCTTTAGTGCTGGCCAAGAGCCAGCCCTGGCAGGCAGCTGACTGCTGTCCTCATGTCCTGGGAAACGCTTTGGGTGAGATCTCCTACTCCTGCCCCAGTCTGTAAGTGGCCCAAAGGATTCTGGTATCCTCTTAATGTGTGAGAAGGGCTCACAGAGAGAGGACGTCAGTTCTGCTGACCACAGTGGTTTCTTATGTGTGCTCAATAAATCTGTGCCCGTCACTTAATCCCATGGCATCCATTTCTGTGGTTCTGAGCCAAAGCATGACACAGACTGACACACAGGCACACACATACACATGCTGTCTCTTGCTTTAGCAAAAAAATCCACAGGGTTTCCTACTTTCTAGCTAATCTGCTATCAGAATCCATAATGGTTTGTTTTAAGAACCTTACCTGAGAAGATACTGAACACTCACAACTGACTTCCTTGAGAGTTGTAAAGTTCTGCCTTAAATGAACCTTTTCCCCAAGGATTTAAAATACTGATTTAAAGAGCTGTTTTGACCTGAAAAAAATGGTGATTAATAGTTTCCTTGCTTTCACCTCCTCTAATTCCTGTTTTGGCAGATGTGCCAATTCAACACAAGCACTTCAACTGACTAAGGGAAAAGACTCACAGGTTTTACTTATACATGTCAGGGTGACTAATTTACAGATCTGAGTTAAAACACAGGCTGGAGAGGTCGCTTGTGGTCTCTGTTCTCACGAAAGGAGACATTCCCTATGAGACAGATAAGGAAACTTGAACTGGTTATCTAGGCCCTCACTTTATCTGACTCCTGCTTGTACACTGACACTGTGATCCCAAGGGACCTCTTTTCTAAATCAAACAGCACAAAGGAAACCCCGAGAGGAGAGCTCAACAAATATTTAAAAACAGAGAAACAAACGCAACTAAGAGTGAATACAAAACTAACTGAATAAACAGTTTTGTGGATTGCTACAGCAAAGTGGTCTTTCTACAGCCATCACCAAGTGCTTGTGTTTCCTCCAGGAGGGTCACAAAACTGCCTCTTCATGTAGCTCTGGCTTTCGTGGCACAGACAAGGGCTCACTTATCATAAAAATATTTCCTTTTACAACTCCTTGGACAGTTCATGAAAAGCCATACATATTTCCCAGCTCCAGCCTTTGCCAGAGGTGTCCTTGAATCTTGTCCTATAGGAAAAAATAAACTTCCAGAGTAGGGCCAAGGATTTAAGGGTTTCTTCTACAGCATGACATGAAAGCCCAGCAATAAACACATGTAGCTGCTGTATTTACTAGGTTAAAGGGATTAGCCAGGCCAGCTGCAACAACATGATTTACTTGCCACCCGCATTCCCCAAGGGAACTCTGTGGAATACCACTTCCCTTAAGGTCAATAGTGGGATTCCCCTCTGCATAACCATCTTGCAGTCCTTTGGAGATGACTAAACTATACCTGCCCAGGTTAACATACCAGCACACTACAGAGAATCTCCCTTCACATTCAGATGTGAATTCTTGTGCAGAGAAAGCAATATATTTTCACTTCTCTCTTTCATCTATCAGCACACACATGTGCTCTCTCCTTTGCTCTGAATTTCACACATCCATATAATGTGCATATGTTTGTATACATTTCACAAACCCAAGCTACTCCCTACCCTGAAATGCAATGGCAAAAGTGAAAATATTTTCTCAAGCAGTGGTGGGTGCTATTTTCACCCTACAATGGAAGCATTTATCTCAGTGGCTAGAATGTAGCCACTGGTTCCAGTAGGAACCAGTTTCCCTTCCCCCTTTTTCTGCCCTGCAGTTGTGGCACAGAAGAGACACAGTGTTGAGCACTCTACTGTTCATGACCAGCAAAATCTGCCTCTTTGCCATTCACCCACCTGCAGAATACTGTGAAGCAGGGAGAGTAGATCTGCATATGCTGATATGGTGGAGGCTTTGAATCCTCTCCTCTGCCTCCCCTACTCACTCCTTGGAATGCCTGTCGCTGCCAACTACCTGGCATTGGCTGTTGCTGTATCTCTGCCTCCCCTCACTGTTGGGAATCCCCTTTCTCCAGAGCCTCATCTGCAAAAATATCCTGAGAACAGCATGTTCCCACAGTGTGTTCAATTAAATTAAGTATTATGGGAACAGCTTGTTCTCTTCAGACCTAGAGAGTTGGTTGGTGGTAAAAGAAAAAAAAATTAGCAGCAAGGGAGTAGAGCAGGAGAGAAAACAGGCAAGGATGAGCAGAGGGGGAGTGAAGGACAAGGGCCAGGAAGGAACTGGAATCAAGCAAGCTCATTTATAGGGCCAACTGAACATTTTCAGCCAATCTATCGCAACAACTCAGTTGATAGGAAGTAAGAAAACACAGTTCAACAGTTGGAGCTCCTGGCCAGCTGAGGAAGCTAGGAAGATGAGTAGGAGTATGAGTATAGTCTGAAGGCACAATGATACAGAAAATGGAAAAATGTCATCAAGAAAATAAAAATAATTCTATTATCAGAAGGAGAAAGCAGGATGAGCTAAATATTGTAGGAAGGGGAAGAAAGTTTGGGGCAACTTCTAAAGCTGGCCCAGTTAAAATTTGCCTGAGGTAAAGCAAAAATCTTTGTAAAAATCACTGGGGAAAACCAAAGCAAAAGAAAGCTGGTCAAAACACTGTAGGCACACAATTTTTGTAAACAATTGTCACTAGAATGTTAAAGTCCTAAAGAATGGAAGAAACAAGAAATTCTTGATGGTTGGGGAAAGTGGTTACCGTGGTTAGCTACCCCTATCACCTGATCTAAACCAGAACTAGAGCCTAGTGAAGGATTCTCTGAAGGACCTTAGCTCTCATCACTGTTTTCAATCATATCATAGGAACAGATGATTGAGGGAGACCTGATAACAGCTATCACATACAAGAAGGCTACCACAAAGTAAGAGTGAACAACCTTCTCTCTGTGTTCCTGACTAGTAGCGAGAGAAACTAAGAAGTTTAAACTGCAGAAAGACTGAAGTTAGGCATTAGCAAAGCTTTTCTAACAGAGAAATTCATCTCCATCTTCACAAGGTTTTAAGAATTGATTAGGAAATACCTCCTAAAAATGGCCTGAAGCACAGCTGATCATGCTCGTTTGGCTCTCTGAGGTCCTTTTCTATTCTGTAAGTCTATGATTGTATGATACAGTCCAGACATAGTGCTGAGGGAACATGGTGCTGAAAGAAAAGCTTATCAATGATGCAGTGGATCCCCATGTAACTCAGGCTCACTTCCTCAAAGGTGTCAACTTTCTATTATCCTATAAGAGGATCCAAACCTCTTACAAAGCAGCATGGAAATCACCAGGTAAACTAACAAACACTGCCATTGTCCTCCCGAGAGAAGCAAGCAATTGCAAGGGACACTATGCATGTGCTAGGACAGTCTCATTGTGTTTTTGTTTGTGACTAACATTCTGGTAATTTATATCTATACATGCAAACTTACTGGGATCCCGTTGATGCCTTGAAATCCTGGAACTCCCATTGGGCCCTGAGAAAAAAGAGTACACATTATATTTCACATCATCAGTCGGGATATTGCAGTTACCTGGGAGATATTTTTCCCTCCCACACTTTTGGTTTAGGACTTTAGCTTTCAAAACCAAAATGAGCAAACTCTCCCATGCAGATTCTCTCTGACCACAGGGGTCAGTGAAGATAGGAACTGAGCATCTGAGCCTGACTGGATGCCAAATGAGTGTTTCTGGAATGTTTTAATCAGGCAATTTAAAGTAAAAATATAATCTCCTACTGCACATCTGGGGAAAACAAGATGCCAGGAAAATAAACAATCTGTTATAAACTTAACTCTCAGTGTCACACTTGACTTTCCAAGAGTTTCAACAGGACTTATGTGTTTTTCTGTCTGTATGTGGATAGGACCCCCAGAGATACGCAGACCACTGCATTAACTTCAGACCACCCTGCCCAAGTCACAAGTAATTACCACACTTTTGCTTTTACCACTCTTCTCTGGATAGTTCCAAAACAGACTGCGTAAGCAGAATATCCAGCCTAAGTTGCTCTTGTTTTGGAAAGGTAAAGTATATTGCTTCCACAAAGGATAAAGAGAGAGAATCTTATGGCATGCTGGTATTGCATATGTATCCATTTCAGTGGACAGAAACAATTCTGGAGTAAATAAGGCATATTTTGAGTGCAAGGAAATCAGTTCCAATCATTAAAGGATCCAGTACTTTGCATCAAACAGACTGGCAAGATCTCTAGATAGTCCCAGAATGCAAGTCTGCGTCCCAATGTCCCAGACGTCCTCCAGATTTAGAAACCAGCTGCAGCATGAAGATGAACTACCCACATATATCCAACTCTTTATTACAGAAAGCACTTTTTCATACTTCCATTCCTTCTTTTGACTAACTCCAAACTCCCCATTTGATTCTTCCTTCCTAAGAGGCGACAGCAGGATGGATCCTGTGGGCACTGAGACATTTCTCTGTTTGCTGTTCTGCCTATTCTTGCACCCTGCAATCATTGACACCTACCCCTTATAGGCTACTCCATTTAATATGACATAGTTTATAATATACTTTCTGTTAGAAGTAACTTTGTACCTGCCAAAGACTGCTTGCAACAGCAATAGTCACTGGACAATGGCTCACCTACCAGGACAGGTACAGTGTTCAGCAGCTTTGGGATCTGTATTCTCATTCAAAAATAAATGCAGACAATTCTCTAAAGGGAAATACTTGAAATGCTGTTGTGTTCTTACTCTTGGACAGGTAGTCTGAGATTGTCTTTATTCATCCAAAAATATATACAAGGCCATAGATCTATTGCAGGGACAGAAAAGTAACCACTGAGCTTACCTTGTCACCTTTCTGTCCAGCTGGTCCAGGTGGGCCCACTGCTCCTCTCTCACCTTTTGCTCCTGGCAAACCTTCTGGGCCAGTAAATCCAGGTGCTCCTATCGGTCCTTGAAGCCCTATTGGTCCTGGTCGACCCTAATATAGAATAAAAAATAAATCAATGAACCACATTCACAAACTCCCTTGTAATTACTCTTTCTGATTCAATTTCTAATGCAATTTGATACATCTCAAGGTTGTTAGGACATCCTAAAGTTTTCCCTGTACATTCTCAGATAAGAGTTGTTAGAGGTTATTTCAGGTAAGTCATAGAATCATAGAATAGAATATCCTGAGTTGGAAGGGACCCACAAGAATCATGGAGTCCAGCTCCTGTCCCTGCACAGGACAACCCCAAGAGTCACATTATGTGCCTTAGAGTATTGTCCAAACACATCTTAAACTCAGACAGGCTTGTGCTGTGACCACTTTCCTGGGGAGCCTGATACAGTCCTGAGCCACCCTCTGCATAAGGAACCTTTTCCTAATACATAAACTAAACCTTCCCTGACACAACTTCAGGCCACTCCCTCAGGTGCTGTCACTGGTCACAGAGAGGAGAGATCAGTACCTGCTCCTCCTATGGCTTCCCCTCTAGACCCTTCACCAGGACTACCTTTGTAGTTCTCCTTTGGACACCCTCTAACAGCTTTATATATTTCTTATGTTGTGGCACCCAAAACAGCACACAGCCCTTGAGGTGAGCCTGCACCAGCGCAGAGTAGAGTGGGACATTCACCTGCCTCGACTGGCTGGTGATATTGTGCTAAAACATTACTGTTGGAAAATTCCTCCAAGATCATCAAGCCTTTGACTGAATACCATCATGCCCACTGAACTGTACTGCCAAGTTCCACATCTACTTGTATTCTGAACATTCGCAGGGATGGTGACTCCTCTACTGCCCTGGGCAGCTTGTTCCAGTGCTTAACCACTCCTGCAGTGAGGAAACTTTTCCTAATATCCAACTTGAACTTCCCCTGGCCCAGATTGAGGCCATTTCCCCTCACTAGTCCTATGGCTAGTTGTCCGGGAGAAGATACCGACCCCACCTCACCACGAGCTCCTTCCAGATGGTTGTGGAGAGGGAAAAGGTGGTTCCTGAGCCTCCTTTTCTCCAGGCTAAACACCCCCAGCTCCCTCAGCCGCTCCTCATATGACTTGTGCTCCAGCCCCTTCAGCTGCTTTGTTAACCTTCCTTGGACACGCTCTGGCAACTCAATGTCCTGAGTTACAGCAGAAATCTCCCTTTTCCCGGACGGTTTCTGACTTAGACAGCACCGCAGGAAGGAGCGCCGTGCCCTCCCTCAGGGTGCAATGGCGGGGCACTGCCGGCAGATGGAGCAGCTCCCGCAGCCGCAGGGATCTATCAGTGGAAAATCCAGTTTATGGCTATGCTGTCTATGGCACAAAATCCAGTTTATGGCTATGCTGTCTATGGCACAAAATGCAGTTTATGGCTATGCTGTCTATGGCACAAAATCCAGTTTATGGCTATGCTGTCTATGGCACAAAATCCAGTTTATGGCTATGCTGTCTATGGCACAAAATCCAGTTTATGGCTATGCTGTCTATGGTACAAAATCCAGTTTATGGCTATGCTGTCTGTGGTAGAAAATGCAGTTTATGGCTATGCTGTCTATGGTACAAAATGCAGTTTATGGCTGTGCTTTCTACTGAAAAGACAGTCAGTGGATTACATTAATTATCCGTGCAAAGAATCAAGACTTACATTAAAAGATATAGAATGGAGGAGGAAGTTAAAAAAAAACAACAATCCAGACACAAAAATCTCCCTCCTTTTAATTATCCTCTACACTCATGTCCATGGAAGTGTTTCCCTTCTATTTCCCTAACTCTGTAAAACAGCAGAAGGAATGCAGCTCCCTGCTGCAAGTGTTTTAGTAATCTCAGCTGGAAGTACACAGACTCCATGGCTTGGCAGGTAAAAGACTTTTACAGTTAATTTAAAAATGCATTGTTATGTGTTTAAAATCAAGCAAAGTGAAAAAATAAAAGCATAATTGATTTTAAAAATTCTTTTTCCAGGATCATTTTTACTACCTGCTTAGGCTAAAATATTTTTTTCTGTATTCCATGTTTCTTCACTACTGGAGCAGTTTTCTTTTAAGTGCCACAATTCTCTCACGTCACTCTTTCTGTTGTGATTGTTTCATCCTGGCCTTTTAACTGAGGTCAAGTGCATGTTTGATATTTCATACCTTTTCTGTCTAGACAGTGTCCATAGTATATACTTCCAGAGGCACAGACTCCCATCTGAAAAGGCTTTTCTGTTGATTAATTTTAGCTCTCTTCACTCTGGGCTAATTATCAGTAGAATCCTTTATATTGGGAATCATACAATCGGAACATTAATCCCCCAATCTTCAGTGGTCCTTGGCAACCATACACAAGAAGCATGTCACAAAATCACATGCTTTGCTCTCACTTTCAGTCTCAGTTTTAACTTTTTAATTTCCCATATGTTCAAAGTCTTTCAGGCATCAACTCACAAATCATGGATTGTGGACTGTTTACCTCAAGGCAACGCAGCACTGACCAGACAGACCCTAAAAACAGTCACATTACAGATATAGCCAACCACCACCACAAAAGCAACAGCATCCAAGAGTCCACCAAGGTTTGTAGAGAAAACACACTGTGAATTCCTCACTTGTTTGAATTGCTAATACTTCTGTATTCAATTAGTTTGATTGCCTGGTTAATGATAGTGTTTCACAATGACTGGAACCGATAGGAATTAACATTTTAGGAGGCTTTTGTTCTGCTCTCTAAAATGGGGCAGTAAAGACCAGCAACTACACCTTCTGCTTGTGTTTAGATGAGCAGGGCTCTGACAGAAGAATTAAACATGATCTCTGTGATTTCAGGACCCACAGCTAAAAAGTTCTCTTTGCCTTAGTGCCCTACAAGAAAGATTTTAACAGCACTTGAAGACTTTGTCCAGTGTCTTAGAGTGTCACTAAAGCGTAAGGACACAGTAAAGTGCTTCTAATCTCTCTGATAATATGATTATGCCATGATAATCAGGCTCTCAAGAATTCTCACTGTTCCTTTTGAAGTCTATGTGGATGAAAATCATGTTTTCTACACTGAAACAAAGGACTTGCCTCCACTGCTGAAAAAGCAGCATTTTTCGTCACTCAGCAGCACTCCCATGAACTGTTCCAAGATCAGTGCATTATAAAGAGCAGGCACCGTGGCTGCAGGAGCAATTCCAGGATAACAGCACAAGGAAGACTCAGGTTTTACCACAAGGTAAACTTACAGAGTTCAGTACCAGGTGGAACTACTGTCTGACCTCAATGAGTTTACTTTGTGGTAAAAAGTTAAGTGCCTAGTCTTTACTGTGCTTTGGCATCAGGACTGCTCTCAATCAAAGGATAAAAAGGATAAGACACCTCTTAGCAGTGAGGACAAGCTTAAATATAAAATGTGGATTACACCAAACAAAACCTACAATTAGTCAAGGGAGCTCCCTATTTTTAATCATTAATATTCAATATGTAGTCCAGTAGCCTGTAGAAAAGCCATTAGTAATTGCTGCAAATTGTATAATTTTGTCTTCCTGGCTGCACGACAATCATTTTTAAAAAGA